TAATAATAATTTAATAATATTTTTTTTATTTTTTTAATTATTTTTTTTAAATTTTTTTTTAGAATTATATCCTAAGTTAGATTTAATAATCATCTCTTACTAATTTTCTTACCTCTAAATATTATTTTTTTTATTTCTATTAACCTAAATTAACTATTAAAATTTAAATTGGGATGTTACACATGGCCCAAATTCAATCTCTAACTTCTCCTCTAACATCTGCCTCCAACTCTAAAGATTCAACCTTTAGCATCGAGATCAAAAGCTTGTTAGTCATGATATAACGGCATGCCTCCAGCTCCAACATTTTTCTTTGAGATCACAAGCTTGTACTAACATGCCTCTATCTCTAGCTCCAACAATCCAAGCATCTAGCTTTTGAGGTCGAAATCTCAAATACCATTGATAAATTAATGTTTTATTTATATAATTGCGCATATAAATTTTATTTTTTATTTAATTTTTATGTCACCAGTTCGACCGCCGGTCTAACCGGTTGGACCATAAAAACCGTGACCCGTTGCTCTTTCCGGTTCGATGTTCGGTCCGGGTTTTAAAACATTAATACAGCTACTACTAGCTCATAACTACTATCATTAAGCTCTTACACTAAGACCAACTCACACCACCTCCTTTAACCTTCACTTAAATAAATCATGCTCTTCATTATCTTATACCACTTCAAAACCTTGAAATCATGTTAGGGTTTATACAAATTTCAACACCCTACAACTACACCTCACAAAATCACTTACCCCAAGACTAAAGGACTTTATTCAGTCTCTTATAGTCACAAGTAAACCTTTAGATATAGATCCATGGCGTTTTCAACTCATAACAACTCTTCCTTATTCCAAATTTCATGAAAACATGATGAAGAAGTAAAAGAAAGGGGTAGGAAACTTACTCAAGAATTTGATAGTTCCAACCAACTTCTAAGATCACTTAATTAAATGCCCCAGTAGAGCCTCCAACTTTGCTCCCACGAACTTTATACTCTCCTTAACATTGCCTTTTAATTTCAAGCTGAAACTCGCACAAATTAACCTACTTTTAAGGTCAGACAACATAGCACATGGTATAGCAAGGACTCTATCACTTGCCCTATGCCATACAATTATGATATAATGCAACCTTCACTCTAGGCAAGCTTTGAAATAATCTAATAGTTTAAAAACGTCAATTAACAACCTGAAAACATGATAAACTCAACTAGCCTACTAATTATTCTTGATTAGCAAATAGTTTTTAGATTATAAAACTTAAGATATTACAACTATTGCAAATTGCTGGAGTTCTGACAACAATTAATTCAAATTAATTTTTTAAGGTGGCCAGGGGTTTGATTCTATGAACCATTGATTACCTAAAAAGTTTGATATAGCTACCAATTCCATTTAATCTTATGCGCTAAAAAAATGTGAAAACTCGAGCTTCTAAATCTCGTTTATGTTATAATATAATGGTGTATTATTAATTTTTAAACGACACTTGTTATTTTACTAGTGTTATTTTTTTAATTTGATAATGGTGAATTATAAATTAAGAGTTCTAAAAATTCATAATCCCTCTATTAAAAAATGTAATATATTTTTTTAAGAGTTAGATGTTCAAAAATATAAGGCATTTTTAGTCTTTTGAGGTATAATCATTACTTTTTTTTTTCAAAAATGTCTCTATTGATAATGACTTTATACTTATTATAGGGTGTTTAATAAAAAAAATGTGAAAAAGATATGATTAGTTTAAAAGTAAGTAACTATTTTATAAAAATATTTTATATTTTTCAACGGAAAGAGTATATTTTACAAATGCTCATATGTTAATTGACACTTAAATTCTATTAAAATATTATATTCACATAGGCAATGTATTTAGTTTACAAACTACTTATTTTTCTTAACATAATAATAATAATGTATTGTTAATTTTAAAGTTAATTTTTCTATTTTATTATAATTTGAATGACTTGTTTTGAATTTATTGTCCACGTGAAAATGTTACCTGTTAATTTAGCCTTCAATGGCACAAAAAATTTCGCAACCGTGACTGGGAATAATCGGAATATTTTGATAAAGCCTCTTGGCTAATTACTGTATTGCCTCCCAGATGAAAAGACGTTGGAAAAGTAAGTAATAATAAATATTTCAAATGGAAATGAGTAATGGGGTGAAACTTAAATTCCCTGGGACAATAGGCTGCACCCTAACATGTGGGGGCACAGTGATCTAAGGAGCTACGTGCTGAGATCGTGCAACAAGGAATGCCCCACTGTTCCACTGTCCTATGGCCTCATACATGAATATGAATATTCCTTCTCCATTCTTATACATAGCTCACCTTAAGTTGACCCTCTCTAACCAAATCTCGTAGATTACACTTACACCATCATAATTGATAATCCTTGGTTATACGCTCGTATTGAGGATCTGAGGGAGATTACAGGAGATAATATGGCAAAACTTGGGACGCTGGGGGAGTGAAATAAAGAGCAGAATAAGGTGGGGCCGACGCATCATACAGGAGTCGGAAAAGGGGTTGAAGCAACAAAGTATAAAAGATAATCAAACAAGAAATGATTAGTGGACGACATTTCAATCCTTTTCCTTTTTGACATTATGCGTCCCAACCCCTTCCAGCTGTGGCTCTTTTCTTCGTTGCCATTTCACGGTTTACATAGCGATAGTGCCTCTCCTCTCTGGCCTCACCCTCTCATCATTCTCCCCCCAACTACTTCCCCCGTTCGTTTTTCTTTTCCTTTTTTTTTTATATATATTATGTATTTCCACTCACTTAGCCACCTACCTACCTCTTGCTTGCTGTTCAGCCAACCTATTCTCAAAATATATACTCTTGTCAATTTTATTAAACTATCTGCCGGGATTTTGTACTGAATGAAATTTCAAACAAATATAAAAATTATTAAATTTTTAAAGTTAAGAAATAATATTAAATTGAGTTATACGAGATAGAATATAAAAAACACGTAAATTAAATTCATTTATATGACATAAAAACAAAAATCCTCGTCGACTTAAAATTTTTTGTTGGATGGAAGAGACAAAGACCAGAGTTTACTTTTTGTTTTTCTTGTTCGTTTAAAAATTAAAACGTGAAGTCTATTGATTTCAGAATTTTTTTTTAAATATTTTTTGGGGATTAAAAAAAAAAGAAAAGAAAGGAAGTGCTTCATCTTTTGGCGAAAGCCTGGAGTCGCTTCATTCACTTTTCCATGTTTTTGACGCTGCTCTCACTCTTTTTTACTTAGTTATTTTAAATTCAAGTATAATCTCTTAGATCAATTTTTTTTAAAACTCGTTAGGTCAGAGCTTCACGGCCTTGTCTTGTTTGTCTCCAGATTTTGAGAGAGACTTACTCTAAAAGAAGAGTTTAAATTCAAGTATAATTTGAACAAGACTCGCTTCAAAATTCAAAGAACAGAAAGAGGAGGGAGAAGATGCAGAAGGAGACAAGAGAAATTGAAAATAGAATATCCAAATCAAATAATTGTACGACGGCGTAAAACATGAGAAGCAATGAAGCGGGCCTTGAATTGGATGCAAGTGAGGGTGATGATTGTTTGAGGACAAAATTGCAGAGTATCACCTCGTTCAACAGGGCACATCATCTATGATTAGCGTATAATAAGATAAGCTCGAGTGCCAATCAACAGATACGAACTCTCTCCCTTTTGATTCAGATTTCAGAGTATGCCAAAATGCAATAACCCCAGTATGACGTGGAGGGATCATTTGATGAGCCCCGTATGCTATGTCTAGACTTTAATAATAACTAATTTATAAATACTTTTTTAAAGTTGCGAGAGGAACCTAACTAATTATTAAAATCTAATAATTGATTCAAACTTTTTAGTAAAAAAATAAAGAAAAAGAAAAAAACTGGGGCGTGCAGGATGACTGTGCCTCGTCCACGTCAGAAGTTGGACTTCTCTAGTTGGTGGGCCCAACCTCCACTGGATCATCATTTGATTAAAGTCTGAAAATATGCGAGTGTGTGGTGCAGCTGCCAGTGAGGCCCTCATTGTCCACATTGCCCCTGCAATCACCTAAACGCCCTCAGCCCTTTATCAGCTTCATGATGACGTTCTTTGAACTCTGTGAGAAAGGAGTTTGGGCATATTATATTCATGTCATGTCAACTTTACCCATAAAGACGATAAGCTTTTTACCCTTTTAAGTAAACCCCAATTAATTATATCATAATACAATCCAAGTTGAGTATCCCAAACGTGGATTTGCTTCCGCATTGACATGCTTACTGAGATTTCTCATGTACCCTTTTCTTGCTGAATATCATAAAACTTTTTTCCAACTTTGCGAGTGGTGTGGTGTGGACTGTGTCGTTTAAGGCACACTGTCCAATCTGAAAATATTCTCAAGCCATGACTTTTGTTTCCAGTAGTTGCGTTGTGGTTTCTTCCATTATTACTTGCACCCCTCGATGTACATTGCACGTTCCTCTGGCTCTCTTTTCACGTTTTATTATTATTTTTTTAAGAACGGTTTCTTAGGCACAACCAATTCCCGGTGGGAGAGCAGTAGAGGACAAAATATCACGAGAAAGCCACCGGCCTTTGGGCAGGTGACTGGACAGCCCTCCTGCCTTCCTCGTACTTCTTATATGCTTTTGTGGCATAATCGTCATTTTTGGAAAAATGGTGCCTAAAAGCTCGAGGTCCTACATGTATATTAAAAATGAAGGTTCAAATCTTATTATAAGTTACACAAAAATAATTAAGGGGTAGAACCGCAACGAAAATACCTATAATACTTTTTGCTACGCGACAAGCACCGCCTAGTTCGACTTCCTCCCGACAAAGGTCATCAACCCGCTTATAGAAACACGTGGACGGTGAGATTTGCGCTCGTGGCCATGATATGAGACTTGGAGCCTGGTTATCTTTGACTATAGTTAAAAAGTGGAAGGGGTTCGAGACTAAACCATGGTTAACTGGCGCCGCTTTCGCCATTTTTTAGTACTCTTGTTGCGCATTTGAAGTCCCCCCTTTTTCTTTCCATCATCTCTTCGTCACCCCGCCGCCGTATGCGACTGTGGTGCGTCGACCTGTTATGGGCGGTCTGTCTTGTTAATCGCCCTCTCATTTGAAGGTGCAGCAGCTTCTTTCACTGGAGAAACTGAATAGATTTCCCCTGAACATCTCATATTCTTTCGAAGCAATCGGAGCATGTTTTAGCGAAAGGGGTAATTATTTTTCTATATTGGTACTTTTGCATTCTTAGTTGGTTGGTTCTGCTGGTGATTAGGGATTAGGTGGTCATCGTGCCTCAAAGAATAGGCAAGCCTCCAGTTGAGAACTAGTCAGCCTGAGAGAGAGGAAGCATATGATTATCATTGAATTGATTGAGCAGCTAGACGATTCAGAGTTTTGATTGCGATACATGCCATGGCGGAGCTGGAGAATCCATCTTCAGTGGCAGTGTCTACAGCTTCCGGAGAAGCTAGCTTTTCATCCTCTGGCCATCAGAACGCGCCTGATGAACTCCCTCCCCCGAAAAAGAAGCGAAACCTTCCTGGAATGCCGGGTACTTAGAATTTGTCGATACTTGAGGAATCAATGTTGATTGAGTTGTCTTAAGTAAGTTTCGTGACTTCTAAACTTTTGCAGATTTTTTGTAGTTATTTTCGCATTTATCTTTTCAGATCCAGATGCTGAGGTGATTGCTTTATCGCCCAAGACACTGCTGGCGACGAACCGTTTTGTATGCGAGATCTGCAATAAAGGATTTCAACGGGACCAGAACCTGCAGCTCCATCGACGCGGCCACAACCTGCCATGGAAACTACGGCAGCGAACTAGCAAGGATGTTCGTAAAAGAGTCTACGTGTGCCCCGAGCCTTCCTGTGTTCACCATAACCCGTCGAGGGCGCTAGGTGATCTCACCGGCATCAAGAAGCATTTTTGTAGGAAACATGGCGAAAAAAAGTGGAAATGCGAACGTTGCTCCAAGAAATACGCTGTACAGTCTGATTGGAAGGCCCATATGAAGACTTGCGGAACCAGGGAATACAAATGTGACTGCGGCACCTTATTCTCTAGGTTTCTTTTTTCTCTCTTTCCCGTTGCTTCTCTTGATATTCTACCTTCATGTTTTTGTGTTGAGGGAATAATCTTCTTTTGATCCTTTCGTGGTTTATTCTAAAGTTGACGGAGTTGCTTATTGTAATAATTTACTTCGTGGTTGATACGTCGGACTTTGAAGGAGGGATAGCTTCATTACGCACAGGGCCTTCTGCGATGCCTTGGCCGAAGAAAGCGCTAGAACCCGAACCCTAACCATTGGCGAAGGCTCTGAGGGGAATTCGAACGGAAAGGTTGCTATGGCTTCGCCGCCGCAGCCCCCACTAACTCCGTCAACATCTGTGGTATCTCCAGCTTTATCCATTCAGAGCTCAGGTAGTAAATACGCATTTATACTTTGGGGGTCAAAGCTGTACAGTTTCTTTAGTTTTTTTTTTCTTTTTGAAATAGTTTCGTAAGATTCAAACGAAAGAATTTGAACTTAATGGTTTGAGAGTTGAGACGCAAGAGTCACAGATGATTTGACGAAGGATGTGTTTTGTCTCTTGCGGATGTCGTTTATTTTAGCCTTCTTTTATTATTAATTTGTTTTTATTCTGGTGTGTGAAGTAGACAATCAAAGCGGGTAACAAAGCAACAAAATCAGTTGTAGTAAGTAGGAACCAGTCAGCATGATGCGTGATTTTTGTTTGCTCTGCGGAAGACGACGAGAGAGACAAAGTCGCGTGTGTACTAGTATATAGTATTGGGTTTTGAAGTTTGTTGAGGGGAGCCCATAGATCGAAGAGCATATCGAGAATAACGGGAAAGGAGGCTATTATTGCTTCTCCTTTTGCTCTTTATTCATTCGAGGCTTCAAGCTATTGCAAGTAAAGATCTAATGATTCATTATCCCAAATCTCTAAAAAAAAAAAAAACAGATAAAGCTTTTACCCAATGTCTCACGAGTGATAGTGATCATCTTTTTAGTTTTTATATATATTTATATATATATAGCTTTGTAAGTTGTGAGCTTTCCATTGTCTCTTAATGACTTCTTTTTGTGTTTCTGTCCATTTTCTTTCCATTTGCATCAGAAGTTTCGGAAAACCCAATCAGGTTGTCGCCGTCGGCCTCGAACGTAACGTGTTTACCAGCAACCACGGTCACAAGCAGCACTCCCTCCAGTTCTACCAGTGTTTTCGCCAGTATATTTGCATCCTCAAGTGCTGCTCCTTCTCAAACATCATCGACACTTTCGTCGTTTTCCAGTATGATGGCTAACTTGGCTCGCTCGGATTGCCCAGCTACTGCCCCAACAATGCCTGCTATAGAGCCCACATCTCTGTCTCTCTCCACGTCATTTTATCTCTCCAATGCTGATTCATCCCTGTTCCCTGACCAGCATGACCCTCGGCGCTACACTGCACCTGCTCAGCCTGCACTTTCCGCCACCGCATTACTCCAAAAGGCGGCTCAAATGGGTGCTGCTTCGTCCAATGCGTCTCTGCTTCGTGGTTTAGGCTTGGCGGCAGCGACTTCCTCGGCACAAAACAGTAATTCCTCGACACAATGGAATAGCCGGGTGAAGACAGAGAATCACTCGATGACTGATGACGGCCTTGTGCTGGAATTTCCTTCTGCTGGTAATGCCGGTTTCGCTGACTTGATGATGGGCTCGTCGTCGCCGTTCGGCGGACAGCCGATGACTCGTGATCTTCTTGGTCTAAGCATAGGCGGTGCTGGTGCCGGGGCCAGCAGCAGGGGGGGTCTTTCTGCTTTGCTCACCTCTTTTGGTGGTCGATTCGGTGTTGCAGATTCATCGATGGGAGGGAGGAACGCTCCGGCTGAAGATTAGGAGGATCTTTTTTCTTTCTTTCTTGTTTTTTGAATCTTCCTTCAGCCGAGTTTACTAGCTAGTCGTCATATAAGGGTCGGATTAAGTTACAGGTACGAAGCACTTTTGCAAATGGTGCTTTTTTGTCTTTATAATTTTTACCTTCAGTCTTTTGTAATCATTTTGCTGCCCTTTTATCTGTAAGGAAGATCAAGGATCAATGAAACTGTAGAAGATGAGATTAATATTATGACTTGAGGATGTACAGAAACAAGTATAAGTGGTAGTATTAGTGAAATCTGCTGCACTAATCTTTTTGTTTTTGGCCATTACTGTAATAGGTTGTTGTGTGGCGAGATTACTGCAGTTATTGTGAAAAACACAAAGCCTGTTTTGTCCCTGCACATCTCTGATATCTGAAATATATATGTATATGGTGAAATAAATGTCTGTGAATAAGGGTGGAATTGCATTCCCTGTCGGTGCATTAAATAAGACGATGTGAATTGAGATTGGGAAGATGGTCCTTGCAGCAGGAGACGGTAGTCAAATATGCAAAACTGGTCTGTTGGAGTTAGCTTTGTTGTTCGGGGTCCAGCTTGCGTCAGTTGGATCAGACCACCAAACATGTATATTTAATGTAATGTAATGAGCTCGCGAGGCTCTTCTCTTTCTCTTTAAAGAAAAAGTAACAGTAGAAGTTATAAGGTATTTTTAAAATGACATATTCTTAATTTTTTTTTAAATTACTCTCTCTTTTAAAAATATAAAATATTTTTAATTAAATCTGACTCTTAAATAAAATAATTATTTATTTTTAAAATAATCTTATATTTTTATAATAATTTTAGATTTTTATATTTATTTTTATTAAACACCCTATAATAAATATAAAATAATTATCAATAAAGATATTTTAAAAATAATGATTATATTTTAAAAGATTAAAAATATTTTGTTAAATATTTAACTCCTTAAAAAAAGTTTTACATTTTTAAACGGATAGAGTATCATATTATTTTCATATGTATATTTATTTAATAGGGTAGAATGATAATATTGCTGGTAAATCCTTCTTGGTTCTAAAATTGTATTGAAGGATCAAAAGATTAGACTGCTGGCAGACAAGCCTATCTACTTACATCACATTCTTTTAATCTTTCAACATAATTTCAATCTAAGGAGGAACTTACTAGCAATTTTTTTTAAATAATTTAATCAAAAGTAAATATAAAATTTTTAATAATTTCAAATATTTCTTAAGAGCATTTTTTAAAAAATATCAAAACGCTTTATATTTTTAAACATGGCATCTCTTTATTTAAAATAGCAAGCACCTTATAATTTTAAATGGAGGATTAACAATATTAATTTGTATGCTTAATATAAATTATGATTATAAATTTATCAATATAACAAAAGTATAAAGGTACATTTGATTTTCTCTCATTTAACATTTAGAATAGACTTTTAAATTATTGGGATGTTAAAAGTTGCTTAGGTAATTTTTTTGGAGTAAAATGACTTTTAAAAAGTGAGTTGAAGTGGGTTTGAAATGTGAATTTCAAAACTCTACGTTTTGGTGGATTTTAAATGTGGGTTTAAAATATAGATGTTAATTTACTTTCTTATTTTTTATTTAAAAATTATTAATTCATTAAAAATATAATTACCATTTAAATAATAATAATTAGATATCAATTTTTAACATTAAAAATTGAATAACTAATCATGTTAATTTTTAGACTAATGTATAATAAAAATTAAAAATCTTTATCAAATTTTTTAAAATTATAAATTAAAAAGTACAAATAATTAGAGATCAAGTTTTTAGCATTATAAATTAAATTTTATGTTACTTCAAATATATTACATTTGTATAATAAAAATTATGTTTAAAAGTATATTTTACTATCATAATTCAAACAATTTTTAGTTTATCAAACTGACTTTTGAAAAAAATATATACAAACACAAATTTCATTATAACAATTGATTTTTATTAAATTGACTTTTGTCAAATGAATTTTCAGCAGATGAATTTTTGGTAAACTGAAAACCAAACACACGCAAAATGATATCTTAGGAGTTCATTTCTCTTAATAAAAGGTCTCTTGGAATTTTATATTTTGCTGGTAAATTGTGCAAAATTCTTATGTTCTCTCCGCTAATACCCACTTAAAATTTTTATCATCAACTTTGCTCGATGATGAATTCCACCCAATAGAAGTTTCCATGGCTCCCTGCTGCTGCTGCCCCATTCAGTAAAGGTGATGTGCTTCTGATAAACGTGAGAATGTATAATCTAAGTCATCTACCGGAATCTCTATGCTTATGAAATAGTTAAATGCTAGTTAAGATGTAATTGCCCCTAATCATATGCTTAAGCTTAGTTTAGGGGGGAATTAAAAGGACGCGAACTTTATAAAATTGACATTTTAACGTGACAAGTGCAACCATATAAATTGTTCAACGCTAACTTATTTGGCCATCCATGGTGAGTGATGAATGCAAACGTGGGCAAGGGGGTACTTGCTCCCACAATTTCAGTGCTCGTTTGTATTTTTTCTTAAAAGTTTTTTCCCCCCTAAAAAATGTGAAAATTAGTTTTTGCCTCCATGTTCTTGGTGGTTTTAAATTGTGCTCCCCGTGTTAGCAAGTCTAGATTTGTTGCTGCTAGAGCTGGCAAAAAGGGCCGGCCCGGCCCTGTAAGATCGGCCCTTGAAGGGCTCGGGCCTAAAAGGGCCAGCCCTTTTAAACCCGAGTTTCTTTTAGGACCCTAATTTTTGAAGCCCGGCCCTTGACATGACGGGCTTAGGGTCGGCCCTGCGGGCTTTAGACCCTTTTAACTATTTTTATTTTTTTTAAATTTTTTATTCAAATAAAAAATTATTTCATTCTAATATAATACTCAATCAAGAAAGGTATAAAAAAAACTAACTAAATAACATATAAATGAACTAAAAACACAAATAAAAAAATAACAATGCAATAAGTAATAGATCGGTTAAGCCGACAAACACCCAATCAAAATTAGAAGAATAAATGTTGAATTGAATAAATCATTATCATGGATTTAGATGAATTAGGGGATTTAAGGTTGTATTTTTTTTAGAAAATAGCAGCCAAAGATTTCTGTATGAAATTTATATCAATTAAGAATCAATTATTGTTAAAACCTGAATGAAAAACAAGTTACAATGAACTATTGTTAATTTAAAATGAGTTGTTATTAAAATCTAAATGAATACTTATTGATAAAGGCTAACTCGAATTCACAAGTATCTACTCGAATTTTGACAACAAGTGATCTTTGACTGATATAATTTTTGATCAGTGATTCTTCATTGCTATTTTTCTTTCTTCTTTTTTACCTTCCATCCTCAATAAATATGGGCTAACATATGATGTGGAGTAACATTTAGTTTAATTTTTTTTCAAATGTAAAAAGAGTAAAAATTATGAGAATTAATTAAAAAAAATACATATGTGGGCTTAAACGGGCCGGCCCTCAACCCTACAGGGCAGGCCCTTTTAAGCTCTAGATTAAACGGGCTTAAACGGGGGTTTAAGCCTGATTTATCATTTTGGAGTTCTATTTACAAGCCCGGCCCTATTTTTATACAGGCTTAAACGAGCTAGCTTGACAGGCTCGGCCCATTTTTCCGGCTCTAGTTGCTACCCATGGTCATCACAACCATGCCACCTATGGCTGCCCCAATCGCCAGGCCTCCTCCTTGCCTCAAGCCATCTCGCTTTACGCCTCGCTATTCTCTCCGTTAGCAGCGCTTTACACTGCGAAATTATGAAATTAGTTGTTGTGCTTGTGTAGGGAACCGAAACTACTCTTTTGAGTTGAGATTGGAAGGGTTGTGAGAGTGTGAGCGAAGTGATATAATGCATTTAAATTCTTTGAATAGATATTTGTAAATTTCTGTAAAATTTAATTTTTTTTTGGAAGAAATAGAAAAATGAATTTTTTATAAAAAAAATAAAATGAGATAAAATATTAAAAAATTCAATAAAATTCACAGATTTCAACCTTAAAGAATTTAAACACAGGATTAGTTTTGTTATTTAAAAAATGTGAAAGAAGGGATCTACTTCAACCGAAAGTGATTTCGTTTGTTTTGAAAACTATTGTCTCATCGTGCGAATTTTGAATCTCTCTATTCATTCTCCAGCTGACTCTGTCACGGTGGTTTAACTTTATACTCTGTGCGCCTTCAACCATTGTGGTAGGTTCTCCCTCATCGTTGGTGCTATGAAAATGCTTTCCTGGCTTCAATAAGAGTACCACACCAAAACTACGTGATCATCATCTTGTATATCAGCAAAGAAAGGATCGCATGCAAATTATACAACCTATAATCTCTAGCTAGATATTTATAATCTACAACTCCAGCCCCAACATCACAGAGGACTAACGGATCACAATTCAAAATCTCAATAACTATGAATGTATGGTCTCTAAAGGACAAGCCTTAAAGAAAACATGCCTCCACCAATTTGCTTTACTAGGAGCATGAGTAGAATGGAGTGGTCCTGAAAAATGAGTTGGCTTATTTAGCTGACTTAGTAACCACGGAGAGCAATATCCAAACACCTACGAAAATTGAGAAGGATGCATATGTCAAATAGACTATTCTTGTGAGCCTTAGGCTTATTTAATTAAAAATGCTTTCCTTAGGCGGCCTCTCTGGTTTAAGTATTTTGGATACATAAAATTAAGAATATGTAATACTTACAGAGGAGGAGAACGCAACAGACTAACAGAGACAGGGCATTTAACTAGCATCACAAAAAAATGGCGCCCACAGTTAAGAGCAATTGAACAGCCACAGGTACTGGCAAGGCGCGCATCAGTCACTGGCATGATTTGGAATTTTCCTCGCCATCTTATCCAGAGTCAGCCAAATTTTGTGGCTTCACAATTCGAAATCTCTCCCCCCAACCAAGTTCGCCCCCACCCTCTCCTGTCCGTTTCTGAGCTTTCCTCTTCGTAACTTGTCCATCCCGACTCCTACATTCCCTGCTAATTTCGAATAGCTCCACAAGGATTCGTCAACTACTTGATCTATTGGGAGCTGCTGCTTACCGGTTCAAAAATGGAGAGATTTTCTCAAAGAGAAAGCATTCTCTTAGGCTACAATCATCAAAGGCCGTCCACAAATCCGAGCACCCCACTCCGAAACTCGGACGTTGATTTCCACGATGTGTTCGGGGGCCCACCGAGGCGTTCTTCCGTTCAGGAGATGCGTTGCGTATCGGCGAATCGCCGGATCTCGGTGCATCGCAGATGGAGGAGGATGCTAGTTGGTGTGCGTGGCCTCGTGTTCGTGAGAAACCTGTGTTCGGGGAAGATTATTTGAACAGGAGGCGGTACGCGAACGATAACTTCTACGACGACATATTTGGAGGAGATGAGTCTCCGTGTCGTACTCCGATCAAGCATGAACGACACCCTTTCTCTTCGACGCCAGGTTCCAGAATTTTGAGCCCTGTCCCTCCTCTGCCTCCCGCACCTGATTCCATCAGTCCTTCTTCTCTCCCTTCAACTCTGAGGTTCTCTCTTTGCCTCCCGCACCTAAGCTTGTTGTCACGAAGATAGTCTTCCTCTTTTTTCTTTTCCAAAAAGAAACTACGGCAATTTCGGTCAGCTGTTTTCAAATTCATATATTGTGTACAGCAAACAAAATTGATGAGATTGGGGGGGGGGGGGGGAAAATAATGAGGAATGCCTTTGGCATTCAAGTCACATTAAGGTAAAAATCAACTGGAGGAATGCCTTTGCCTCTGGCATTGACGCTTAATCAAGTGCTTTACTTCTAAATAAAAATGAAAATTGAGTTTTATTACTTTTTTTTCTTTTTGGTTTTTTTCAGATTAACCCATAGCTGGCTCAAATAAAATTTATTTCTGTTGTATCAATCATAATGAAATTAATAAACAAGAGACCACATTTTTTCGGTCATCAGTAAAACATAGCTGCCTGTTCTGGTATGAAAAAAACAGAAAGAAAGAAATATAGCTGCCTGCTAGACATCAAGGCCGTGTTAATGGGCCCAACCCAACCAGGTAGGTGGTTTATGGGCCAGACTCAGAAACGCCCATGGGCCTAGAGGTTTAGATTCACGTCGAAGAATAACGGCGAGGACAAAAATCCCTCACGCTTGTTTGGTCTGCACAAACCGGGGGGCCTGTCATCCGTGGCTTTTGTCCATTGTGGTCTCTTCAATTTTTATTCTGATTTGCTACGATTCACTACACTAATAGTAAGTAGTGACATGTTCATTCTTCAACTTGCACAGCCTTCCTGCCAAATTGACAAAAGGCACGGACCTTCCAACGTTTGGTTCCCCTGCTAGAAGCCTACGCATGAGCAACAAGGATGCCGCTTCAAATGGCTTAAGCTCTTCAGATTCTCCAGCCACTCATCTTTCTAGATTTTCAAGCCACACAACTCGAGGTATGGAGGAGTCAAAGAATGGTTCGGGAACTATGCGGCCAAGTCGTTCATCACAAGAGATTTCAGACTTGAGCATATCTGATAAAGCAGACAAAGGAGGCGATAGTGCAGGTCAGTTCCATTTCTCAATATATAAATGGGCAAGTAAGGGGGTAGTGCCACTGTTGATGCCTCTTCGGACAGAAAGAAACTCAAGAACAAAAGAAAATGTTAAACTTGAGAGATGCTCCAGCACTAAGGATTGGATGGTAAGAGAAAGTACTTCACAAAATGATAATTCTTTAGCATATACAGTTTCCTCTTCGTTGAAAAACAGAAGACAAGATCGGTCAACTACTTTTGTAACCCCTCAGAATGGGTCAGATACGCTCGAAGAAAGAGCTTCTGCGAAACGTAATTTAACAACCTTAAGCACCCTTCAAAATATTATCAAAGATGTTCCTGGTAGTTCTTTGTCTTCTGACACTCGAGCAGAATCGAGTATCTGTTCTGTAAGTGGGAGAGAATTTTCTGGAAAAATGAAAGAGGATTTAGTTCAGACAATTAAAACTCAGAGAGTTGAGTCAAAATCATCACATTCTCTAATCAGCAAAAGCGATGACACACAAGGTAAAGGCCAATTACATGTACACCATTCACTGTATGTGGATATTACTAGTTTACCATTCCTGAAACCCGCTCAATTTTTTATGTCAGATTATACTGAGAAGACTAAAATGGAGAAAGGAATAGAAAGCAAAACTCCGAAGTCATCTGCTATTCGCGACATTAGTACTACTTGGAAGAGACAAGTAGAAAAGACAGCTGACTTGAATGGTGTAGAAGGAAGTAAAGCTACCTTGCAAAGTATGGAGAATGTCAAAGTGAAAGGAAAAGTCAAAGAATTTGTTCGAATATTCAGCCAAGAAGCTGTTACGAAGCCAAGAGTTGGCACCAAATCGTCTGAGTACAAGCTGAGAAGTGCTTTAAGAACAACAGAAGAAGTAAGTGCTGGCACAACTGAATAAACCTGACTAGAAAAGGAATGAAATTCAACTCGAAAACGGATGTCAATCTAAATAACCTGAGAACACCTATAGAGAATTTTCTTTGACTGTTAAATTCTGAAACGTGGAAGCGATATATTTTAGTTTTATGACAATTGAATCTAGGATCTCATTCAAATTTCCCAGGCAGAAGATAATCCTCAAATTTTAAAGAAAGTGGACTCTGCTACGGAGATTACCAACACTTCTGGTGATAATTTGTTTCGGCAGGATGATATCTCGGCATCAGGTACCACTGCCAGTAAGTTCTCCAAATATCAATTTTCCATCTGTTGAGAATTTGACTTGCATTAAGGTTCTCGGTGGGAGGAACAACTGGTGAAATTAAATTATGAATATGCTCCCCCCTTCCCACACTCTCACTCACCCATTCACATGCACGCACATGCACACAGGCGCGTGAAAAGACATAACTATAGGATAATCATCGTGCATAAAATTCGATATTAAAATGCTAAGTCTTGCATTTTTTTCCCCATAATGTGTTTCTCACTTTCTCTTAACTCTGGTAAACCTTTCTGCAAAAATAAGTATTCCCATATGGTCCAAATGCTGTATGTAAATAGGATTTTGACAATATATTTGATGTCACTTGATGGAGTGCTTTTATTGTTTGCAGAAATTCTTGATAGTACAGTTGCGGTTGAAGACGGGTTTTTCCATGGGAATTTTCGGGTAGGTTTTATCATGTTTAATATATCTCATTCAGTGGAATATTTTTCAATTAAGATATCTAAATTCACATCTTTAAGTGTAAAACTTGAATTTATTGCCTTCTATTGCAAGAAGAGAAAAAGAAAAAAGAAAGAAAGAAAGATCAATGAGAGAAGAAAGAGAACTATTATGTGCCCGATTGCTGACGAGCTCCTTAACTGGGGTTCTTCACAGGTAAGGGAGCTAGCGCAAGATGACAATGAAGTCTTCCAAACCCAGAATAATCAAGAAATCAAAGTATTGTGTCACTACCCGTGCTGTGTTTATTTCAAAGTTCAACTTAAGCACAATTCTGTGCCTATAATTTTTATGGACAATGCAGGTTATTGATGATAAGATACGGCAATGGTCTAACGGGAAGCAAGGAAATATACGGTCCCTGCTATCAACATTACAATATGTGAGCAATAACAATCATGTTCAAACCTCAGTTCAGATTCAGTTTTATATATTCCAATTGTTCTTGCTCGTCAACAAAGATAATGCATCTTGATATGCCTTAAAATGATATTTGGAAGCTAGTTCTTGAAGTTCACGCCACGTACTTATTAAAATTGGCCACCATCATCAATATAGGTGCTTTGGCCTGACAGTGGCTGGAAGCCTTTGCCTCTTGTTGATATAATCGAAGGGAATGCAGTGAAAAGAGCATATCAAAGGGCTTTACTCTGCCTACATCCGGATAAGCTGCAGCAGAAGGGTGCTGCTTCTCATCAGAAATACATTGCGGAAAAAGTTTTTGATATTTTGCAGGTAACATGCTGTTTTAGCAACCTATTATGCGAATTTCTGTCTTTTATAGTATCATCTTGCTTGGAATTGGAAATAGATGTTAATATCATAACATTTTATTAGTCTCCAAGTACTTAGAGAAGAGCTCGCTCAAGAGGGGATGGGGAAATGAGGAATACTCTATCATTATTGTCTCGTTCAACATTCTCTTAGTCTCTTCTGAAACTCCCAATCATTTTGTCTACATTTGCAACGCAGGAGGCATGGACTCATTTCAACATGCTGGGTGCCCTCTAACCTCTGTCAATACCGATAAAGGGGAAAAAACCCTAATGAGAATTTGCTCTGTCAACAATGATTGATCCGTTTAGCAAAATTCATGTGATTAAGCGCAGCCGCAGCTATTTCTTTTAGTAGATTGTAAATGATTGATTCCGAAAATGTCCTATTTTCAACGGTGGCATACACACGGGCCTTTTCTTTTCCTTTTTCTAGGTCTTTATACTTTGATTGCATTTTATTTTTAATGTCTAATTTTTTTTTCAGTGCAAACAATAGTTCTATCACAATGTAGAAATCAATCCTTTTTTGTATGCATTTGTAGCAAATGATTACGTATATTACATGTTAAGATTGCCAAGCTTCTATTTTATTCTTAATATGTCACGTTAAAAGATTGGGGGTGTTTTAATCTTTTCATTTTATATTATTTCCAATTTTTCATGTTTTTCTGCCATACCAAATATCATTTATTAAATGTTTTGTCACCTTGTAGTGTACATGCATGCTATTATATTTTCTTCGGACACCTATTTTCATATCATTTAAAGGATTTATCTTTTCTCATCAATATCAATATTCGAAAGAGATGCTTGTTATTTATAACAAAGTTTACTTGTACTTCTTAAAAAAATTGTATTTATTCATTATATCGTATGTAATTTACTCCTCGTACTTTTAAAAAGTGTGTGTAATCATTATATCGTATGTAATAGCATGAATCTAGTAACACACGACCTCCAGGAACTTCAGATGCTCATGTTCACACAAGAATGATCCAAGTACTGGCCTGCAAGACATTCAAATGTCCAAAATTTGCGCCTACAAACCATCACTAGATTACAAATTTACAACATAAACTAGCTCTCCATATGCGCTGCATCAAATAATCAGAATCAGCAATGCCGTTTTAAAATCACCATCCCACGCTGGAGAAGATCCCACTCGGCCACAACAAATTCGTCATCTAATATTAGAAATGGAGACTTCGGTTTGAAATACGCATTAAAGCTCTACTGGCGGATAAAGATTCAGATACAAATCCACTAGTGAATATTAGTTCTGCAGAGTTCTGTTTTTTTTTTTTTAATGTTTATAAATTTCATTTTCTTTACCAATAGAACCACACAAGGAATGTACAGGGACCACGAATCCGAATTATCAACGGAAAACGGAACCTGCAGGAACACGGAAGAGAAGATTCAGATCTAAGACCACTCGGTGTTTCTAGAAGAGCTCATGTCACTCATCTTATTGAAATTTTCTACAACAACCAGCGTGACTCTTGAAATGGATGCTTCAAGGTCAACAGGAGTTCACCAGCGATTAAGAACATTTAACCGGCAATGTTATTTACAATCAAAGTACACAAGTACCCTCGCACAAGCTGTCAATTCAAATGCAAATGCCGAGTTTGAAACTAAGAAACTCTAAGGGATCAACATATCATTCGCCATGAAATTATCAATCGTCTTTCTGATGCATAACACTAGGAGGGCTATTATTACCATCGAGAGAAGCAAGATATATCCGCTTTTCAGCCAGCGCAATATCTGAAAGAATCAAATTACCCTGCAAGCAAAACTTAAACGATATCAAGCTAGTATCGACAGATGTTACTCTTCTAAATAATATAAGGATTAACTATTAGGCAATGCTTCTTGGGTTTTTTTTCCCCCTTCTTTTTTTTTTGGGGGGGGGGGAGTGTGTGCAGGGGAGACAGAATGGAAACCATGACAAGAATGCAATGGACGAGAAATCAAGAGTTTGTTTGGTATTCTCCAAGCTTTACAGTTTAGAAAGAGGTTGACCCACTTGGCTGAATGGAAGTGAAAGAAACATGATGAAGTATTGCACGTTATTACAATTTTACGAATTTATCAATCATATAAAAATTTAGAGTGAACTTGCGACTAATACCAAATGAATCAAATCAAGGATTTGTTCAGTCCAACAATTCCACTCCCATTAAGCGAAGTATCTTCTAATGACAGGACATTAACGGTACACTCTCTTATTCAAATGTTTAACTTCAACAACGAGGACATGGAACAAGATATTTAAAAAATCTAACGTACATAAATCCATTATAACCAACTCATTCTAGAATTGGTTTCAGGAATACCTGGTATGTAATCAGGGACGCAGAAAATTGAATTGCAAGTAAAAAATAGTCCACACATGCAAACATGTCATTGTGAGAGCTATAGAATAGGCCACTATCCATATCCTGCCTAAATGCTTACAAATCCGGAGGTATTAAAATAAGCATAAAGAACCTATTTCGCAATAAAAAACCAGAAGAGACACATGCTGGCAAAGTGTTAGATCTAATATAATTGGCCTCCTGAACATTCTATGTCATGCATTAGTTGAATGTTCATACCTCAGCAGCCATCAAACTTCTAACATTATTAGCATAAAGTTTGGGATCATCCTTCTCTAACTGAGAGGGACAGTAGACAGGTAACCGTGTCACCTCCAAATGATTTACAAACTGACAGAGGAGAAAAACTATGTGGCGCACCTGCAAAATAAACAGTAAATTTGAAAACGAAAAAAAAAAAACGGAAAATATCTATAAATTCCATAACCATCAAAACCCAAGTAATACTTTTGAGCATATAAGCTTGTTCCCATAACATTACCAGCTCAATGTTCGTTTCATTAGTGCCAGTGATAATGTTGGATTTTTTTTTTTTTTTTTTTACAAAAAGATGATGAATGATGAGGTTATTTTGGTCTCACTATAATTAAAATATTCTTCCCCTCCAAAACTGCCCAATTCGGAGGGGAGTGGGGTAGACCAATTTTCATTTCCAAGCAACAGGAGGGGAGCAACTCCCCTCCCGTTCAAAACCCTCCATCCAAACAGGTGGGCAGGCTAAATCTTCATCAGTACTACTGACATTTCCCACCTCCAAGTGAAGAAAAGTTAAAAGAGTACCAACCACTGGCTCCCTCAAAATTGATGAAGATTTAAGCATCCCATCAAAATTCAATATAAAATAAGACTGAAGAAACGACAGACTCAAATTTTGGTAAACGTTGATGCCAAGGCAAAACCATAGCCTCAAAAGGTGACCCATTTAGCAAAACATAACTGTATAGATGCTAGTTGCTATATTAGTTCTCCTTGTGGAAATTCATAAAGTACAATAGAACTAAAACTTTATAACCACTCACCCCAGATATAGAATCCCAGGCAGGACTAAATCTCTGGTAAGGGTATTTTAGAATTACAGGAAGTACTGGAGCACTTGCCAAAAAACCACCAGTCTTAAATGGAAGAAGAAAGTTGCCATTTGTGGTTGTACCTTCTGTAGAATATTCAGTATCGTTAAATTTAAAAAAAGAAAAAAATAGAAGACAAACAATAAGAAGGAAAAAATTGGATGCTCTAGATCATCCTTGACGTACTGAAATATACTAACTTTGACCGATGAAAGGAAATATATCATGATAAGAAAGAGACATGTTTGATTGTAATGTGACAAGTGCTACCATATACACCAGATGTTTCACGTACCAGCAACATAATAAATTAGAAATTTAATGTTTAAGAGTAGTATCAATATAGAGTAAATCTATAACAAGTTGTATTATACACAAGTCAAGCAATATGGCTCATTCCTCATGAGCCATGCAATGCATGAGGCTCGCCTATCTAGTTGAAAGATAAACAAATGAGAGATGAAGTTTCTTTTTAGATGAAAAAATAAATTATTGATAAGAAGAGATATGGAGAGACTAAGAAATAAACATAAATTAAAACTTGTAAGTTGAAAAGATTAGGAAAAAGACAAATGCGGAAAGTACTTCCAACTTGTGGAAAATCAAAAGCCAGAGGAAATAGTCAATAATGTTCACCAATGAAAAACAAGATACATAATATATTTATTCCTCAGGACACACATTAATTCATCAGATAATGTTCAGAGAGGTAAGGCATTACACAAGAAATTAATTCCTATTCCATGAAACTGATATAGAACAGTATGCCAAGGGTAGCTAAATTGACCCAGATAACATGGAATAGTCAGGATAATAACCTGGAAATAGCAACATAGGAGAAACCTTATTCTGATGAGCTTCTTGAATTCTTTCAGTGACAACACCTGCAGGTAGAAATGCCTGCAGTTTAGTCATGCCTGATAATTTATGGTCCTAAATTTCCACCAAAAAAAGGGGGGCAAATAAAACCTAGGTTCAAGCTCAACCTAGAACACTGAGAAACCTCAAGACAAATAATTTTACTGATAAAGATAAGTTGGTATGCATAACAAGAACGGCTGGGGCAGCTTTCAACATGACACATGAGAAACAGCTAGCCTATACCCAAGAGTTGAAAGGGAATTCAGATCCCAAGGCAATAAGAAACTAAATCAATTAATATAGTATAAACAATCAAGAGATACCACTAATACAGCAGAACAAACAATTTTAACTGCAATTCAATTTGAAAAACAGTATAGATAATTCTCTCATTTCCCCCCAAAATACTGCAATATCTTATGACCATTGTATTCTTAAACAATTTATTCATCAACTCATCCTATGCAATTAGCATGGCACTACAACATGAACAAAAAAACCAAGCATAGTAGGGGATTGGAAGAGAGGCCCCCTGAGGAGGGTGGGTTAAGAATCTGCATATTATCGAAAGCATTACAATGTGTGCGTGCACCAATAAGCACCTGAAACACCCTTAAAGTCTGATGACTTTGATTCCCGCTGAACATAGATACAGCCAAGGCACTTGCTGTCACAAGACATGCAATAATGTGTGAGCCCAATGTTTTAAATTGTTCCACAGATGAAGATAAAAGAGTATGCATTGAGGTAGAGATAAGATGCAGCATGTTCATTCCATATAATGCACGAACATTAAACTTGAGAAAGTCATATTTTGCATTATGAGACGAAAAAAGAGCCATGCACAGCAATACCTAGAGAGCAAAGAAACACAGGAAAATAGATCGTGCATTCAATAGCAAGCTAACAAACCTGATGAGACCAACTAAAGGAAGTTTAGCCACTGATCTCTTCAGCAACAAAATCCAAAGTTGGCATATAGAGCATGAAACATGTGTCAGTAACAAATTTGAGGTCATCACAGCAAGATAAGCAACATACATTCGATAAGAAATTAAATGGGACATCATGACAAACCTTCGCAACAAAACTTGGGAATGAGGAAGACATGTGATACAAAATATCCAAGTATGACACGTGATTAGATATTATTACACCAGGTCTTCCTATCTCTTCAGATTGGTTCTTTCCTTTCTTCTTACATTAAAAGAGAAGAGAATTGTTAGAACTAAGACAAATACCAAGACGAGAGATAAGAAAGATGAAGCTAAACTATAATAATTGTAGCAGCTCAATCACATTCCATTTTCCCCTGAAGGAGGGAGGAGGAAAAGGAAGGCACTGATTCTAGGTAGGTAAATCAGCAGCCCGAATTGTATCATACAATTGAGAGTCAAAAAATTTCAACGTAAAATACAACTCCTTGTTATTGTCAGTTCAAATGAGATAGAAGATTAGAATATAGGCATATGCAAATTAACCTTATAACCTTAGTTATTTATAATGAGGTACATAATACCTGGTTGAACATTATATTCAATTGTAATTTAATTTATATGTAAATATATATTCTCATACAAGCCATACTTTTCATAGCCGATGAAAAATGTCACTTCTTTTTATAATATACTATTTGCAAGCCATTTGAACAATACGGTTTACATTAGCCTTTCTACTCTATCATTATTACTTTAAGTTCTATCTTTTTCGGTACCATTTTAATGGAATTTGGATTTTAAATTCCCCACCTAAAATTGTGCTCAGGTCAATAAATCTTTTAACCAAAAAAATATATTAGATTATTATATATCCCATATATTTCGCGGGAAAAAATTCTAGTCATTTAAAATTTTGAAGAGCTGCTATTTTGAAAAGAACGCCATGCATTTTACCTTGGGAAGTAAGAAATAACACTAGTTCTAGAAAATATTGAGATAATTCTTAGGTCTAGCCTGGCGTCAACTTCCTAGACTCCTCAAATTTAGGCCTTCAACAGTAAAGTTCATGAAGATGAAAGGCTGAAACCAATTCAGGGATGAGTTTCAGTAATCTGTATGGGTTATTCAGAAGCAGAAGGAGCTTCTTATGAAAGCTAAGCCTGGTCAATTGAGGGCAGCACAAGCAGCTCTGGTCTCATGCTTTAACTTAAGAACAAGTAGAGGGCGAGATGATGCATTCAGAAACAAACAGGTGCGTCCATGGAAATTACTAAACAGGACAACTCTCTTAATCACATCGGTCCTCTCAGACAGGTTTGAAGTCAAGCACATAGCCAAAAACGCCATCTAAAAACAATTCGTAAAGATAAGTAAATTTGAAAGAAGTACCTCAGCGGTGGGCTTGTCATCATCAGTATGCGGAGTCCGATAGGTCTCACTGATCCAGTAAAACCCTAGAACAAAAAGGATGAGCCTGGGGAGAGCTTTGCCAAACCAAACAATCACGGACCTTCTCCACCCTCCCAAATGCGCGTAATCTTCCTGTCCATCCTCCCGATAAGGGACGGAGAATAGTGTGCAGATCCTACAAATAAAGTTATACAATATCAGGATGGCGATGATCAGGACGACCCTAATTGGAGCTAATGTGAGCAATGCCAGAGCCAGCAACAGCTTCTCCTTCATCGGCAAGGGTCCACGCCCCATGGCTCCGTAAACATCGCGTCTGACGAAGGGAGCGAATTTGTTCTCAACCTCTCGGAGGCTGTTGGAGGAGACAGAAGAGTTGGAGTTGAGAAGAGGACGGTCGTCGGCGGTGGAGACCACATGGCAGATAGGGTCGGGTTGTTTCGTACTCGATTTAGGCGGTTTTGAATTCAGGACCTTGAGTTCGCACTCCATGGCAGGAACCTTAATTGCTTAGAGCGTATCTTTCTCTTTCATACTGGTAGGCGCTTCCTGAATGGCAAAATTAAAATATATGGAAATGCTCAATAAACGATGGATTTGGATTCGTACAGACATCAGGTACTTATGAGATAAATTTACTTAATCTTAAATGAAATATAAATTTGTAATCATTAATTTAAATGGTAACACTCTAAATATAGTAACCGAATCTGCACCTCGAAGCATGAGCTTAGAAATCTGAAAATTTCAAGGAAGTGCGCACGAACACGAGGGGTGAGATAGAATGACTGACAAATATTAACACAATGAAACGAAATATAATTGCTGGTAACATAATGATTATTGTTATGTTATTTACATTTACAATTACAATTATTAATTGTTAATCATTCTTAAGATTATATGCACACCTTCTGTGTGTAAAAAATTAATTATTATTTATTACTCCCTCCATTTAAATTATAAAATATTTTTAAATAAAATTTTACATATAAATAAATTTCATTTAATATACGTAATAATTTTATCTTTTTAAAATAAAAATATAAACTTTTAAAAATATTTATAATTTAATATATTGAAAAAAGTGATAAAAATTAATTATAGAAAATAAAAGATAAAATTAAAATTAATGTATTTAATAAAATTTTAATATATTCAAAATATTTTATATTTTAAAATAAAAAAATTTATTCAGAAGTGTTTCATGATTTGAGATGGGGTGAGTATTTTTTTTATATGCATTACTAATTTAATTTAATACTGTCTGCATTATTGTATAAATTACGCAACCTTGCGTTTGCGTGCTTTTCAGGTTTTTAAATTTAAATTTAAATTTAAAAATACTATTTTGCGGATAAGGTTCCGTGCAAGTGGCGAATTACCCTGCAGCTACTTCTTGCTACTGTTTTTCTTTTTTATCTTTTTTTTTTTTTTTCCGCCACACACTCAACAACGTATGTTTCCCCCTCCACTCTCCATCTGCTTCTTTGACAAGAGGACAATAAAGGACAATCGCCTGCCAGCCATGAATCCCGTGCCCAGCTAAATCTGAATCTGGTCACAACTCAAAACCCAAGTTGAGAAAAGAAGAGAGAATCACGAAATCGCATGCCATGGTGACAAGACGAGACCAAATAGGGGTCACCTTCGAAATTGCATTTCGGCTGTTAATCCCTGTCTCTGCCTTGCTGTTGGATATTTCTAAACATAATGGTTACTATATTTCAAAAGGAATAAATAGTTTTTTTTTTCTCTGTTGACTTTTGTAACCACTAAATTATTATAGCTTTAATTGTACTGGTTTTGGTAACTACCCCCTTATTATTTGTTTAATTATATGAATTATGCAACCCATGTATTTAAGCCTCTTGACTCGTAGTGTAACCTTCAGTCATATTGTCTTCGCCGTCTTAATCATCAAGTTTTAATGTTTAAAATGCACCAACATACACTCCATTCAGTCCTTTCGTAAAATATTTTTAATTGTTTCACATATTTTGAACGAAATTAGTTTTTTTATATTATAAAAAATAAAATTTATTTTTATTTTTAACTCTGACTTTAAAATAACTATATTAAAATATATTCACGTTAATTAAGAAAAGATAAAATTAAAAAAAACTGATTTAATTATTATAAAATATTATATATTTTAAATTAAAAATTATTTATAAAAGGTATCTTATAAATAGAATAAAAAAAAAGTACATGCTAGGTTATTTATGAGAGTGTATTTCTATAGAAAATACATTAAGAACGTGCTAAAAAATTTAGAGACAATGATCTATAATGATCCATGCTGGGATGCACATGATTTTGTCCATACGCTCGGTTTTTTTTTGGCTTTCTATTAAAATATAGAAAAAAATTAATTTTTTAGTCATTATAATTTTAATTTAGTTATACCTTAATTCTTAAATTTTAATTTATTATAACTTAATTTTTAAAATTTTAACTCAGTTGTAAATCAATCATTGAATTTTATCCTTGATAATTTAGTACTTAAAATTTTAACTTTTTAAATATTAGTCCTTATGTTTTAAAAAATTTAATTATAAAGATTAAAAATATTTTAAACTTTTAATATTTATAAAGACTAAAATGTTTAATAATCTAAAATATTAGTAATAAATTTTAAAATATTTTTAATCTTTATAATTTTATTTTTTAAAATATATGAGTCAATATTTTAAGAGGTTGAAACTTTAGGAACTAAATTATAAAAAATAAAGTTTAAAAATTAATTTACAACATAGTCAAAGTTTTAAAGATTGAGTTACAACTAAGTTAAAATTATAAGAATTAAAAGATTAGTTCTCCCTGTAAAAGATATTTTGCAATCATAATTGGGCCAAGCCTGACAATAACAGTCCAGAAATTTTCTCGTCGTGGGCCGGTGTCCAAATTGAAGGGGAAGCCCAACAACGTGGGCTAGAATGTAGATAGAAGCGCCTGGACGGCTGAACCAGGGGACGGCGAACTGAACACACACAGCCGTCGGCTCTAATCTGAACTGGATAATGGTTAACCACTACCACTGCCCCATTTTGGTGGAGAGACTTTGGATTCTTTTTCTTAACGGTAACTACCTCCCCATCACAAGCCAGAGCCACATTCCCCATACCCTTTCCAATTTACCAAACGAATACGACTCTTCGCCTACTCTTTTCTTCACCTTCTTTCTTTCTCCCATTCATGCCCTTCTCTTCTTTCTTCCTTATTTCAGCGTCAAAACAAACTAACTATTAATCATTTAGAAATCAAACATAGTCTTCGCATAGCTTTGCTTTCTGAACCACTTTAACATCAAGAATACTTGATTTATGGCCGTCCCTTTCCTCGGATTAACTTTTCTACTCTACTACTTATTCCAGCAACGAAAGGCAACCTCGTGTTTTAATTCTCCCCTCACTCAATCATTGCTCAGCTTCAATTCTAAATCTGACGTCCACTGCCAGTTTTCCTGTTCCGCAGTTTCTCTGAATCCGAGGCTCGGCCTCGGCTTTTGTATTTCTCCAGAAAGAATTAGGTGGCCAAAATTAAGAGAAAGGATACGGCTGCCATTTGAGGCAGCTGATGTGGGCAAAAAAGACATTTCGGCCGGAGTTCTCGTTGCTTTCAACTCCACGCAAGCACAAAGGACCGGCACCAACCGGTATTTCGTCGATTCCCAGCTTTTTTGGGCCTCTAAAACCTCCATAAACCCGAGCCATCTCCTTCGAACTAGCTCTTGCTCAGTTTTTCTCCTCGGATCGGAGCTTTTCTCAAGCATCCGGAAGTCTCCCTGTACTCTTCCGTCTAGAGCCTGTGTCCTAACACTGAAGTTTGTACCCCAAGAATTTCAAAATATACAATTCATATTCCAATGCCTGTCGCCGCGAAGCTTCCTTCTTCTGCTAAATCTGTTTCTAAACCGCGAGCCATTCTAGGACCCGCTGGGAACAGAGTTCGGGTTTCCGAAGTTCAGAAGCGCAACAACGACTGTCTCAAGAATCCACGGCGTCCGAGAAAGCAGATGCCAGAAATTCCGCAGTCCGTTGTTACCAGTAATGTGTCTACCGACAGCACATGCTCCTCCGATTCTTCGAGCAACTTATTGGCAAAAAATGTTGCTTCTAGAAGGACCGTGAGGCGTAATGGGTTAAAGCCGGTAAAGATTGAGCCGGATGGTGCCGTTGAGGCGGCATTTTCTCCCACGGCTTCAAGTCCGTCCAATAGGTGTGATTGGGTCACTCCAAATTCTGGTAAGTTTGTCAGGAGTTACAAGTTTTTGCGCTCAGAATGCCTCATTTCTTTCCTTCTCTTCCTTTCGTTTTTCCCTTCTCTATCTCTGGCCCGGGTTCAAAAGGAACATTCTACCTCTTGTAATGCTCTGCCATTTTGTAGTCCGAATTTGATATTTAGTTCAATTCCTGCAACGATAAATAACTCTAATAATTACTGTTTCCATGAGAGTGTGAGCTTGATCCTTGGCAAAGAATTTTGTCACTTCTTTTTAACCAGTTACACATTATTACATACCCACCGATTGTGCCTTATAGAGAAATGTCATCTGTTAAAAAAAAAAAAAAGCAGATCCTCTTTATGCTGCATTCCACGACGAAGAATGGGGTGTTCCAGTTCATGATGATAGGAAGCTATTCGAGCTGCTTGTATTTTCACAAGCCTTGGCAGAACTGAGTTGGCCAGCAATTCTTAATCTTAGAGACGTATTCAGGTATCTCCATCTCTTGATTTATGATTCGCTGCTAATCTAGCTGAAACATAATCTGACATTTGTTGTCTGATATCACTGATAGGAAGCTCTTTGAAAACTTTGACCCATCGTCCGTTGCTCAGATTACGGAAAAGGAGTTGTTAGCATTGAAAATAAACGGCAACCCATTCCTATCAGAACCAAAACTCCGTGCCATTGTGGGAAACGCTAACCGATTACTCAAGGTAACTCTAATTTAAAACTAAATCCAACAAGACGGCATAGCAAGTTCGTTAAGATTTTTAACAATCTGAATTGATATACCCATGCACAGGTACAACAGGAGTTTGGTTCGTTCGGCAACTACTGCTGGAGATTTGTGAACCATAAGCCTATAAGAAATGAATTTCGGTATGGACGTCAAGTGCCTGTAAAAACTCCTAAAGCAGAACTCATTAGCAAGGATCTAATGCGCAGAGGTTTTCAATGTGTGGGGCCTACTGTAGTGTATTCGTTCATGCAAGTAGCAGGACTCGTTAATGATCATCTGATAACGTGCTTCAGGTACCATGAGTGCAATGTGACGACAAAAAAGGAACTTAAAACTCAGGTTGAGGAGAAGAAGGTTCGAAATGAAACAACTTTAGAATAGGCAATCAATGGGAGGAGATACTCCAAGGTTACTTTCTGATGCCCCAAGGTTGTGATTTTCTCCCTTGCTTTGTTAACTTGCTGCTTGTCACCTAAGCTAACTAGAAAATAATTGATCTTGCTTTGCCCTTTGATGCTTCAGCGTGAACGTGTATGCTTCTTTTAGGTCGTAGAGTTATGGTTTAAGGGAATTTTTTGAGGATATATGCTCATAATCTGATGTTCTTATGTGTATGCTCTGTAATAAAATTTCTAATTTGATTTATGCATATCTCTATTCTTACCTTTGTTTGGGAAGTAGCATCACTGCTTAGGGGCAAAACTAGGAAATTCCTGGCTCGGGGTAAAATGATTTTAGAAGCCTGGAAATCAAACCATATTTAAAACTTGATCCTCGTTATGAGTGTGAATAAAATGAAACTCATAAATTGTTTTTTGGGAAATTCAAACAGAAGTCCCATAGAAGGATTGTGATAACTAAAAAGTTTCAAAAAATACAAAACTAATTCTGAAGTCCCATGATTCTTGATTGTAAATAAATTTCAATGTATATTTACTGAAATGCCATTGTTTCAAAAATTAAAAAAAAAAAAACTCTCTACGTTGTCCCCATCGTCATCATCATCCTGCTTCTCTCTCTCTCTCTCATGACATCACCTTCTCTCTACGTGTAAATACATCGCTTCTCTCTTCCTCCTTCACTTCATTCATTCTGCAAAATCATGAAGAGGCAAAGAGTAGTGGGTGTGAGAGGCATCGAAGCTGCAAAAATGGAAGCCATGGCTAAGAAGAAGATGCCCAAGCCTGAAGAGGCTAATCACAGCAAGCAGATGGAAGAGAAGGAGGAAGCGAAGCAGATGGAAGTAATGGTGGGAACTGAGGAAAATCTTACTGGTTGGGCTAATAACTGGGATGAGACTCGGCCTAGGATTGGTGATTTCGTCGAAGAGCAAATGTCGTGGGGTTCTGTTTGGTCCTTGTTTTGGCTTGGGATATGGATTTTTCCAATGAAGCTTTTGATGCTGGTCTGTACGGTGACGTCGTTTGGGACGACAATACTTGGACTTTGAAGCAGGAAATCCCAAATCCTTTCGAGGGTTGTTCTGAGATTTAAACTATAACTAGAATTCCAAACTCATCATAAATGTGTCTCATCGTCGGAATTCGCTCTTGTTGGTGAATTCCAGAGCAGCGATCTTCCTCAGAAACAACCCAGTCTCATCGCCGGAATTGAAAATGCCATCTCCGAGAAAATTGTGAGACGCAGGTTGCCAAGTCTGGTCAGTTTCGGCAAACACGCGGAGATTGTCAAATAATAAGAATTCATCAACCTTCTGAGAATTGCCGAAGCCATCTTTTATTTTTTTGAAATGAAGGCATTTCAGTAAATATACATTAAAATTTATTTACAATCAAGGATCATGGACTTCAGAATTATTTTTGTATTTCGTGGAATTTTTTAGTTATTACAATCCTTCTATGAAATCTCCGTGATTTTCCCTTGTTTTTTCCGAAAATTGATTATGTATAGTAAGTGTGACTATATTTGAAGCTTACGCTGTAATATTTGTTAGAAAACGAAATGATAATAATTAATTATACCGTTTTATAAATACTGAAATAGTGAAATGGACCATGTATGTATAAATTCAAATGAATGGATTTGTTGTCATTAGAGATACAAATTATAGATGAACTGCAATCATTTGTCAAATTGACTTCCTTCATGCAGAATCTGATTGGGTTGCGAAAAATTGATTTCTAGATGCTTCAAACGCCAACTTTTGATTTATCTACGTTAATCTTGTAAACGCTAATGGACTTATCGTTAACCTATAGCCAGTGTAATGAGATTATAAGTATCCATATGAATGCGAACCTCTCGCTTTCGATCGGCGGGAATTAAAATACAAGCGACCCACCGCCAAAAGGAACAGGGTTACGTGAACTAGCCCTTTTCGAAAAATTACAGCATTTTCCCGAGAGCTCCACGTAATTTAAATTTTCTTGAAAAAATATATTCGAAATTAATTAAAATATTAGAGATAGAAAATATATAAAGAAAATAGCTTAATAAAAAAATATATAAGGTATTTTTTAATGGGTTAAAATTTAATCCTGTTTCTGTACTTATTTTTTTAGGAGTATTGAGTAGCTTATACTCTTAAATGGGATAATTTTACTTTTGAACTATTTTTTTGAGAAGTAAAAAATCTCTTTCTATTAGTTAATTTTATACTCTCAAATGAAATAATTTTACTTCCTGCATGAGAGCCACACAATGATATGCAAAATTTTGACCTTATTCTTTGATGTTATTTGTCTTTAAGTTTTTTTTAAAAGTGTTGAATATCCTTTTTTTTTTTTAGCACTGAGCATTATAAAACCTTGTTAAAATAAAATACTATAGTATAAATTTGTTTTAAATATTTTTAAGAATGTGTAATTGGTATATTTATGTTTCCAAAGGCACGACGTTGCCCCACTTTTGAAAAATCACACAATGTTGTCCTGGACTCACAGAATGCTTAACGGTGTTAGTTTAATCAAATTGGGCCCATACTTTTATGCCACATGCGCAGGTCAAATAGGCCCCGCTCATGTTCTTCTTCCTCCTTGATCTCCCGTCCTCGCGCTCCTTCTTCTTCTTTTGTTCCCTCAATCCTCTTCATCTTTGAATCAAGTTCCGTCAATCCTTGATCTCACCCCTCATGCTTTCATCGTCCCTTCAATCAGAACATACCGGTGCGAGCTTCAATGGTGCTCACGGGCTCATGGGTATGGGAAGAGGCTCAATCTCTCTCTCTCTCACATTCACACACTCGGACACTTCCATCATCAATGGCGGCGGCGACTTTGCCTGAGCTTCTTCTTCCCTTTTCACTTGCCGAGATCCGATTCGCTGAGATCACGAGATTACCTCCACCATCCTTTTTGTTGCCATGATCGTCGTCCTTATCAACGCTTCTCCTAAGTAAACTCACTTCAATTGAGGATCAGCTTCTCACCCACTCAATTATGCGCCTTCCCTCTGTTCTTCTTCTCGCATCTGCAATTCAAAGCTTTCTTCCTGATTTTGACCGTTTGTGCTCATTAAAGAGTTTAAAGATTTGTTATTTTGGAACAAATTACTGAGGTTGAAAGATTCCAAGGTCTCCAATTGTTGAAAGGATAGTTTTGGGTTCTTCTGTTGATTCTTATATGGATCATATCTTGTTAAATTTTTCATCGTCAATCATTTGAGCTGTTTTTTTTTTCAGTTGGTTTGGTGCATTGATCTGGATTTTATTTTTTCGATTTGTCTAAATTCGATTTGTTTGGCGTTATGGTTTGTTCTTTCGGACTGTTTCAAAGGTTAAGCAGTTCTAAACGGGGAGTCCGTTTGCTTATATATATACATTGTCAGTTATTATGGCTTCTGTGATGCATTTCTGTGATGCCATACTAGAGTTTCTAGGCTGTATGCATATATATATATATATATATATTTTCTGGGATTGCAAATTTTCTTTCTTTCTTTTTTTTTGGTTCAGGCAAGAAAGGGAAGAAGAAGAAGAAGCTCAGGCAGAGCTGTGGAGGCCGTTGAGGTGCGGAGGAAGACAGATGGAAGGGTACAAGTGCTTGCGTGGCAAAAGTCAAAAACTTCTCTTGCACATGTGGCGTTCAGCTGTGGACGCATCTGACTAAATTAACACAGTTAAGCCCTTCTGTTAGTGTAGGGCCACGTTGTGCAATTTTTTAAAATGTGAGGGTAATACTTAAAAATACCAATTGCACCTTCTTAAAACATTTGAGTCAGATGTGTACTTTATCCTTAAAATAAAATTTAATAAATATCTTAAATATTAAGCATTATAATATTGAATAATTTAAATATTATTATTTAAAATATTACACCACCTAATTTAATATTTTTAATAATTTATAATTTTTATATTAAAAATGAAGTAAATAAACCTTTAAATTAACGAAAGGATTTTTTTTCTTATCTCTCAATTTTTATCTTGTTATGTAATTTTTTTAGTACATTAATAGAATAAGAGAATGGTCTTGATTTATCATGTTTCTAATTTTACTTCTAAAATGCAATGTATAAATAATGTTAAATTTGGGCCATGCAATATTTTCAAGGAATATCAATAGTTGACTAAAAAAATTATAAAAAATGACCTAAAAATTAAAGAAACTAAACAATATTAAAAATATAAGTACGTTTGAAAGCACACAAAAGACATAACAGTTTGTGTATTATCTCAAAAAAAAAATTGAAGATTGATATATATAAAAATAAAAAGTTATCTGTAAATTTATAAAATATTAGTTTGAATTGTTAATATTTAAAAAGTAATTTATAAATTTTGAATGCATATTTATAAATAATAATATTTAAATTATTAAATATAAAAATATTTAATATTTTGACCATATTTATTAAAATTTATTTTAATAAGACTTCAAAGTACCTATTGCTCTTAGAAAAAGATTTTAGAGTATCCAGTATTCTTGAAAAAAAATTTAAAAGCAAATTAATATCAAAGAATATGGTTAGAGTTGCCTGTTACTGTATGTGGATCCCAAACACATGTCACGTTAGCAGAAAACAGTCAAGTTAATGGCTTCCTAACATAAGGGAATTTTGAATCTCAAAAAAATATTTTAAAAAAAATTGTCTCACCAAAAAGTGTAGGATGCTTAACACTTTTAAAAAATAAATACATGAACAAAATTAAACTTTAACCCTTTTAAAATGTGATTATAACATTTTTTTCATAAATAATCTTAATTAAGTGTGTAATTACTAAAATTGTTAGATTAAACATTTTATTAAATAATAATAAATATAAAAGAGAGTAGTTTTAAAAATAATTAGCTAATTATTGAAAGCTATTACGCTAGGAATATGTGTGAAGAGAACACACACACACATATATATAAGCTCTTTTCCATTTTATTTAAATTAAAGAGAAATTAAATAACATATTTCAAAAAAATACATCTAATGATTAGTTATCCTTCTCACAGAAAAGTTGAATTTGGTTTCGGCTTCCGATAAGGGCAGATTTCACCTTTTAAGACCCTGATATAAAAATAATTAAATTATGCATAAATTGGATGCCAGTTAAACCATCGTGCATAATAAAATATTATGCATGAAATTACAAGTACGATGGAGCACATCTTTTATAGCTCCGCCCCACGGCACGCAGAGTAAAAAATGAACTATTTGAATGTCCTTGGGTATGTGGGGATGCGTGAACTATCCGATAGAAAAAACACGGTGAAGAAAGAAGATTAATAATAATTCAAAGTAAGCCATCAACAAACAAATCTGATCCCGTGAGGTTCTTAACAAGGCAACTTCGATGAAACCTGACAATTTCAATCCATATATCACCCATGGCATCGAATAACAATGCCTCCTTAGGCCTTTGAAGACTTTTGAGTTTTGAATCTTCCTCACTAATCGAAAGACGACAATATTACTTCTATCTTATCCCGAGTATGTATAGAGACCAGTTTGAACATAAAATCTCCAGTTCCAATGACAAATATGGATCCAGAAATGCGGCTTGTGCGATGAAGGCTAAACCAGGTGGTAACCATTGGGCTTTAACACCAAGTTGAATGAACAACCAACTAGCTAGCAAAAACAACCTTGCAGTCTCCCATAACCTATATGAAGTATACGTTCCACCAGCCTAACTCCGAGCCTTGCCGCTTCCAAGTGTGAGTTCCAGATCATCCAATCCCACTTCATGAATTCTTTCTCCAACCCAAGGCATTACCTGCACCCCAAAGTTTGCTTCTGGACCCTTTCTCATTTGCTGCATTGCATTATCAGGCAGAGCGTGCTGAGCTACAGGTTTAGTAAGATTGAATGTTGGAGAGATTGGTGCAGCAGATGCAGAGGGTACAAATGCCTGCAAGTTCTCCCAATGGCCAGACTCAACAGTTGAAGTACCAGATTCATCACATTCAGGTATCGTGGCTGGAGTATAAAGGTGGCGGTGAGTTGGGCTAGCTGGAGCAGAGGCTGCGAAGAAAGGATAATTGAAGGAGGCCATCGATTCTTTGGCAATTGACTCCCATGTGGGAATTGGTTTAGGGTTTCTAGATGTTGGGGAAGAGAGAGGGGGTGTTACAGGGGCACTGTTTGATATTCTTAGGGGAGGCAGGGATGCAGGAATGACATTTCGAATATATGGAATGAGATTTGATGCGTTGTTGCCATCCAAACGAGAAGGACTCGGGAAAGAGGACGACGAAGGACTGACTGGGTAAGGAATTGGACTGGGAAAAGCTGAAGAAAAAGGGCTAGGATTTTGGGAAGAGTATGGGGTGTTTCTGGTGGAAGTGCCTGTTGCTTCACCAGGTTGTGGCTTGCATCCCTATGAACAACAATAGCAAGAAGGAGATTAGTAGATTACAAATGAATAAGATTTAGGCTAATCACATAATCTATGTAAAATTTGATCCGTAAAGTCGGTTTCTTTGTCCATTTAGCGGTAGCTTAGAAGCAGGCATGGTAACTTCACCATAATCGCAAATCGGATACATCAGACAATCAAAGTAAGAAGGCTTCATCAGAAAGATTTTGCTTCGTGATTCCAACGTGGCAAAACTAGATAGCCCTCTCAATTGGATTAAATAACAATGATTCTCCTCCATGAATCATGATGCCCATCTTTTACCCTTTCAAAGAATCTTGCTCTCTATCTCAAAAGCACAAGAAACACCGATTGAATACTGAATAATTTTAAACATGGGCTGATGAGGAAGCAGATGCAAAGCAGAGCAAGAAAGCCTCAAAAGCACAGATTTATTCGACTGAAAAAGAAAAGGTCAGAAAATTAGATCTCTTGGCATCCATGGATACTGCTACATCGACCAAGCCAAATCCTAGTAAAACTCCTCGGAGCTCAAAACAAGTGTGATCCAACAAAGACAAGCCACTAGTTAGCACAAAAAAAAAGTGAGATCGAGGCGCTTAAACATGAAAAAGAAGGGTCCCGAGGCTTGTACAAGTAGAATTGGGCCGTTGATCAAGCCAAAAGGAAGAGGAGTACCTTGCGATAGGTAGTACCGTCGTCTTCGACAGTCCATCCAGCTTCAGCGCAAAGAGCCTTCAAGACCTCGTTGTTGTCACAATGCTTGGGCAAATTGTAGTTCCCCTGAGCTCTGAGCCCACTGTATATCTTGGCCGCTATGGCCCTCCTCCTCCTCTCTCTCCTTCTATTGTTTTCTCGCTCCCTCCAAGACGGCTTTCTCCGACTTGTCGCCGCGGAAGTTGCTCCGTCGGACGTCATTTTCCGGCAATGGTCTCAATCCCTGCGGCGGACCTGAGGAAGAAGGAGAGCAGGTGCGTCGCAGGAGATTTAAACCCAAAAGGGGCAGAGAGTAGTGGGCTCACGAGGAATGCGCTCTCTCCTCGCCTTCGCCGGATGTGTTATGTGTAGTGTGGAGGAATCTTCCGGGCTTGAGAAAAGATAAAGCTAAATTTGGGGTATGATACTCTGCATACAGCCGCACCCAACAAGTTCATGAGCTCGTGCTTCCTCGGCTTTTTGTTTTTGGTCCGAAACAGAGGCGTTCCTGTATACGATGAGGTTTGTTGGGGCTGGAGTGTGGTGTGATAACATAATTATTGGGGGAAGTGGCCCCAAACAGTTACGGTGGGGCCCATCTCGGGAGCAAAGAAATGATCATGCGATGAGGCTGGTGGCGAGAGGCGCATCATGGCGTCATGGGACAGACAATGGCAAATGCCGAAGCTCTTTTTTCAGTACTTGCTTTGCTTTAATATTTTGGGAGGAGGGCCCTTGTCTGAAATATTTGATCTCATTGAGTGCTATTTCCAACTTGGCTTGAACGGGTCAAACTGGGCACATTTTGAGATAACAAGTTGGCGGTGAATGCCACGAGTAGCAGACAAAACGGAAACGGGGCAACCTTTGAAAAGCGCAGTAGTAAGTAATTAAGAATCAATAGGAAGATCCGTGAAGGAGTTGCTAACACTAACAGTGTAGTGAACAAGAAGCAAGGCGTGAATATGATTCCCTTCAACGCCGCAAAAGCAAATTCCACTGCATGCCTAACACTCCCTCACTTGTCACCTCCTGCTCTCTCTCTTGCTGCAGATTAGGATTGGGCATTGCCTCGATACAAAAGATTGACAGCTACATGAAGGGGTAGGGGGTGGGGAAGCTTCATCTACTCTTTTTTTTTATTTTCTTTTTAAGTAGGAACTGAGAAGTGAATTAATAAACTAAATCCAAAAGAGGCACAAGGAAAAACAAGTCTAATTACAACTAGTATTTCTTCCCTCATCATCCACTACCTCAATATAAATAGATGGTGGTTGATCAATCCATCTATTTTATTTTACCATATTCCAAGGTTGTAAACCTGAAGTCAAACACAACAGACAAAATGTTTACTAACAATTCTACATCATAAAAACGCTTGGCTACATGAGTACCATGCTAAACATTTCATAATTAATTGCATTAGATTGCTTTATTTAACATTGCGATGCATCTTCTGGGATAATTGTTCCTTTTGACACAAGGCAAGAAAAACCACAGTATGATAATAGAAACTAGTCACCAATGACCACATTAAAAAAATACAACTTTTAATTGGATAGAACTTCTTTCAACACAATTTCTACTTACAAAAATAATGTAAAATCATATATTTCACGTGCAAAATTGCTTAACTTACAAAACCACATCCCTCGTCCCTCCAACAACAACAAACCTTATGTCATAAGATAAAATTAACTACATAAATTATACAATATTATTGTACTCTATCATCAACTAAAATTTTAAAAATATGATTAACTAAAATATTATTCAACTTTTAAAAAAATTCACTTTAATTTTTCTCTACTTTTCTTTATCAAGCTCAAGGCTATTCATTCCATTCTCTTTACCATTGCTTCCCATAGCCTTCTCTAAACATATTTAAATTATCTTAAACAATTTTTTACCATTGTTCCCCTCTCCAAAATAAAGAATTTGAACCCCACCATAAAGGGCATTTAAGTCCTTTTATTATCGTGGCCCCGTCTTTCTACAAATCTTTAGAGGTAGGCCACAAAAGACAGAAAGACTTTACTGGTTCTCCCATTTGTTCATGGGTAAATTACACAGGCGTTGCGACTCATTTTAGGTATCATGTATTCATACAGCAGCCACTTTAATTGACCAAAAAAGACTTTCAAAGGTAACAAAAATGATCAACAACAAATTGCATATATTCTCCATATCATTGCTTGGTTCCCGCGGTTGCAGGTAACCAACAAAAGGTTTGCTTGAACGACCCCCGTACACCTCTATTGTCTCCGAATACTTTTCTTAGAAGACAGATCAATAATCTCCCTCTGTGTATCTTCCTTGTCACCAAATAAGCATCAGTCATAAATGCTTCTCGGATTTTTATATTTAAATTCCATATTCCTTGAGGGAAAATGCGGATTGGAGTTGTTAGCAGGCTTGAGGAATTAGCTCACGCAACAGAAAGCAAACGGTTGAAATGGGGTTGCAAATGGCCAGTCTCAAACCATTTGCATGAATCATGCTTCTATCTTCTAAGAAAAAATCTGCAGTCTTGAAAGTGAAGGGGCTCATTACCCCAGCTAACCCACCCAGCGATCATTTCTCTGGCAAATAGTTCAATACATCGGGCCGGCCTCAACCCAGGAACATACTCCATTAGCAAATCTGACCATGACAAAAGAAGTGATTTCAACATTCCTGTGATGCAATAAAGTACTGAATTTCAGTGAAATATCTAACCAACCCATCACAATTATTATAACAAATTCTACTAACTTCAACAACATTATAAACCAAGTTCAATTGTTTATCCTACCATCATATGATGAAAACACCAGAGATTGATTAGAAGGGTACCTGCAATAGGGGGCTTCCTTGAGTAGTCCCCAGGAATGCTCATAATCACATAATTATCTCTTACTGGTCTAAAGTTTGATTGCTCATCAGATTTTGTGGCCTTGAATGAATAAAAAACAAAAGAAATATAAACAAAAATGCTAGATATTAACCAATTGCCAGATAGCCTGCCAAAAATAATTTTCTAGTACTAGCCTTCCCGTGGCTGTAGCCCAAAATAAGGCTTTCATACGGTCTATGATGAAAGAGGTCTAAATCACTAATCAAAGATCCATTTGCTTTCACCTGAAGCAATCAAGAAATACCGAAGATCAGAAAGATGTCATCCAACATATCTGAGTAAGCAAAGGAAGTGATTGGTGCAAGGAGATCACCTTTAACCAATAAAAAGTAGCAGCATAACTGACTCCCCATGCAGGAAAAAGCTCTCTCTCGACAAAGCCACGGAGCTTCTCTCTGTTGGTCACCCATAAGGCTACAAGTGCTCCTTCAGTGTGAGTAAGTTGTATAATAGGAAGGGATAAAAAATATCTGTTGGGCAAGGTTGGGTACCTGCATTGATGATAATATATCTAGACGTTTAAAAGGACAAAAAATTATATTTACAAAGAGGTCTAGAGAGCAGAAAACTATCCTGGAAGATAAGCTGCATGTACAAGTAAGTTTACATAGAGTGATAGTTTTCATGACTAAGTCCAAAGTTATAGGAATCTTCATAATTTAATGATTAGATTGAGAACTTCCTTGTTCATCAATTAAATCAACCAATGATGCTACACCTATTTACGATGGAAAGAGGTGTAAACAAGAGCAGGGATGTCTATTTATATACCTTGATTTCTGATGGGCACTAGCATTTTCCCATGGTGGATCAACCACTATGAGGTTGAAACCAGAATCGGCATCAGCTGGGGAAAAATCAAGGTAAGTGTCATTACAACACGCAGAGATTTCTTAATTGATCAAATTAAGTTAATCACAACATAGGTTTTCCAACGCCAGGTTGCCATCACTAGGATCATCCAGGAGGGCTGGCTATCCTACATTATGCTATTAGAGGCTTACAACTTTATTGCTATAGAGTATAGACAACCAGATAGTTATTTTATGCGTAGAAGAACCAAGGTTTGTAATTACAGAAACGGCTATTATATATAAGATCATTACCAGGAACTAGGCTGTGAATCTGTCCCATATCAGACTTCCACGTGATCAAAACAAAAACAAAAAATATATATTAGAAAACGTGTAAGATATACTAATGATAAGGACGAACCTAGAAGGTCACGAAAACAAAAACCACCTTTAAATAATCAAACAATCCTGGAGAATTTGACGTACCATGTAAAAGCAACTCTCTCGAGGTATGATATAATGATTGTTCAAAAATTCGGCTTCTGCTTCATCAGTGGTCTCGTTAGCAATCAAATTATTGAATGCAGGGTGTACCCTCTGTTCTGTACGGTATAAGAAGCCAAAATCCATTCTTGCAGTAAGGTTTTGTAAGAAAATAATAATAAGTAAAATAGTAGCTGGGCATATAAAGAACTCAACCTAAACCACCAAAAAATATTGAATTGCATGGAAAATCCGGATGAGTGCAAATGTGGAAAACGCTGATTTTCATGTTCAAGTTCTACAATCAGTACAGGCCAGTGAAAAAGTAGAGATGTCTCTTTTAAACAACGAGGGAGATTAAACAGACAAAGCCGATTACTCCCTTCCGATAATTTTAATTTCAGCCAGACTTTGATGTGCAATATTTGTACATTCTGAAAGTATCAATAATTAAATCATTCTTAAAATCCATTTACAAATTCAGCTAGCGACCATTCGCATGAAAGTATCAGTCCATGCCCAATTCCAGCTATAAATCCCACCTTTGTCTTCATTTGTCTGACCACTAACATGTACATTGAGAGTTATCTCAAAGAGTGGTACTTGCCAGACCTGTCCTAATTCAACGAAAGACTGCTGAACCACTGACAATGTTGAAACTCCGCAGTCCGTTGAGATACTAGGATCATTCCTCAAATTACTCAAGACATCTAAGAGTGCAGTAGATTTTTGCAAAGACTCTTGCGCCTTCAATAAAAAAGACCTTGCTTCCTGCCCCACAAAATAGAAAAGCCCTGTGATATCATATATAGAGAACATTGTCGCGGAACTGTTATATGCACTGTATGCACTAATAGAGGACCCTAATGACCAGAAAAGAGGAATACCAGATGACGCTGCTCCGCAATACGTTCTCTTTCGCTCAGAGCTCGAGGTTTCCCAGCTATTTGTTTTCGTTTTCGTTTTCCTTTTCTGGAAGTGGTAGCAGACCTGGGATCTTGATTACAGCGCTGGGATTCGAAAAAACGAGCGTAGTATACAGAAGGAGAAACCTTGAAATGATTGTAGGAACGATTCAGGACACGAACAGGATCCACGAAAACAGCGTTAGAATCTTCAAACACGTATATACCAGACTCTAAAAACTGTGTAAAGTTCTCCTCGTTTTGCGACTCCATATCCATGCTTGCTAGTTGGCCATTCCCAGCTCGAGCGGCCATGAAATATGATGCGGCAGTGGAGTTGGATGGGCCAAGGTCTGTAATTTTTCTTTCTTGGTCGGGAAATAAATGAGTAAATATAAATAAATAAAATTTGGAAACTACGCGATGGGCCCGTAGGGTTGGATGGGCTTGGAAATTTGATTGCGTGAAGGCCATGATATTAAAGCCGCTGACTCCAGTCCACCGAAATAAGTTTAAAAAAACTTAAAGTGCAGCTTAATAAAATAAAGGTTAAAACAATCATTTAATCCTTTTAATTTTACATAATATTTTATTATAAATATTTAATTTTATAACATATTTTTTAGTAATTTGATTCTAATATTACTAGTTTTATATCAATAATTTTTATATTAAACTTTTAAATATTGATAAAATATTATTTAATATTGACATATTAAGTTTAATTTTTTAAAATAACAATAATTGATACATAAAAATAATCATTTAAAATTAAAAATGTTAGGATTAAAGGACTATAAAAATATTTTATCCTTTAATTTTATAAAATTAAAGAATTAAATTGAAACTTTATATAAAGTTAAAAGATTAACAATATACTTTAGCCTAAAATAAAATATTTTTAATATTTAAGCTTTGTTCATGCCAATTCAAGAAAATCAAGCCGAGTTTGACCCGAATACCCAAATAATAATTTAATTTTTAAAGCATAAATTTAAAAATTAAGTTTTGGGGTGGCTTCAAATCCTAAGACATTGAGATTGAGTTTGGTTATATTGTTTTTTTATGAGTTTGGACCTATTCGAGCCATCTCGGATAAGTCCAACCCGCTTTAATTGTCAATTCTACTTTTTATTTATTTGTTATTGAAATTTTAGTTATAGGCTATTGATATATGATCATAAAAAATGAGTTAAGAAAAAAAAACTTCCATAAAATATTTTCCTAATAATAATTACATTAAAATCTCATAAACATGATTTTCTTCATCCGTGTAATTCTCCATACAGTGTGTTTTTCTAAACTGACACAGCATATTTTTCTCAACAGTAGCGGGGTTAGGACCTGGAGCTGGTGGTGCATGATAATTTAGTCTAAAATTTAATAATTTTTTAAAAGTAATAAATATTCTAAGACTAAGATTATAATATTTAGATTGATGATCATTTTTACTTTTAGAAAAATACATTGCAAATGTTAATATGATCTTTTTTGTAAATATATTTTTCACATCTTATCCATGTCATTCAAATAATATATACATATATATATAATAAGTTTGAGTTTTAATTTTTTTTATTTAGTTTAAATAATGTAAAATATTTTAAAGTATGGGATATAAAGCTGTAAAATTTACATGCCAAACTTACAATTTTTCTCAAAGCGATAGAATGTATTTGCCTAACTTCAGAGTAATGTGGCTCGGACATGGTTGCTTGAGATTGTTAAAACAATTTGAAATTTGTACTTTAATATATGCGACTTCTTGTTTCCAGACTTTGTACATTATGCTTGAAACGAAAATAAAATAGTGAAATAATTTTTATGCCTGATGAAGGACACTGAGTTAGTTTAGCAAGTGGATTTGCGCAATATTAAAAGGACAGTGCTTATATATTCAGCTTTATATACTTAAAATGTTTGTATCTAATTAAATTAGGATATACAGGTTGTATTTCAATTAGATTCACGTTATTAATTTTATTAACATAATAAGATGAACATGTCGTGATTGATTACGTATAAATACATTAGGTATATAAATCTAAGTATATAAGCTTTATCTGTACTAAAATTAAAATATTAATCGGTTTGATATAAGATGCAACGCTGTTAGAAGGTTCTAGTCCAAGAGGAACCACGAAAATGGATGCTTCATTGCATTTCATGGAATAAAAATTAGGATAAAGTATTAAATTTAGTCATATATTATTTTTCAAAAAACATCTGATAGTTTAAACTATCAAATAGTACAAAATAAATCATAAATTTTTAAAAATATAACATTTAGTAGCTCACTATTAACTTTAACTGACAGACATGATGTGGGATTCATAATAACACAAGATACAAAACAGGCACAACATGTTGGCATGATAAAGGTGCAAATTTAGCAGCTAATAATTTTTTAAGGAGTACTGGGTAGTTTTTGCTATAAAGAAAGGATTATCCAACACATTTCCCTTAATTTTAACGAAACATCATTTATTTTCATACATATAATTCTCACATACCATTAATCTCTACAATTTTTTTACATTAGTTTTCAATATCATCTTAAAAAAAAGAGGTTAAAAGAGTTTTTATCCAAAAATATTCACAATAATGGTGCCAGTGAAGTAGAATATTAATTTTACTGCGCATGAGAGAAACTTGATTATAATTTTATTTAGTCACGAGTTATTTCTTCTACTTTGTCAGCGTCGTCTTCATAAAAGTCTTCAAATAAGAACTCTTTAAACCTCTTCTTCTTGAATCAAGATTAAAAATGAAGGTAAGAAAATTAGAGAGATTGATACTCTGTATGCCTCATTAATATAAAAATAAATGTTGTTTGATCAAAATTGAAAATAATGTGTTGGATAGTCCTTTTTTTATAGTAGAGGCTATCCAATATTTCTCAAAAAATAATTTATAATTAAATTTAAACATTTATTGTGTTAACATATTATGCCTATGTTATGCCACACATCATTGTAGGTTTCACATAATGTCCATCAGTTAAGTTTAGCAACGAATTACTAGATGCTTTATTCTTTAAAACTCATAATTTATTTTACATTATTTAATAATTTATGCTATTAGATGCTTTTTTAAAAATAATATATGATCAAATTTGCACATCTATCCTAAAATTTAAGCCTCATCAAAAATTTAAATTACAAAGACCAGCGAGTATCATAATTCATAATGGTGAATGGGTGGATTGTACAGGGGACACGTAGAAAACATGAAAGAAGAAACGAGGAAGTTGTTGGACGGTGGAGCCCCATGGGGTTTGTCCAGATTTGCCATGCCTTGCTTGGAACGACACCTCTCGAGACACATACGGCAAAACCAAATAGTCCTCTGTCCACCTCTCCCTTCTCGTTTTCCCGTTCACATTTCTCTTCCACGTTAGCTTCTTTTCTTCCTCGCAAGCTAATGCATTCTCAGAGAATCAACTCGCTCGCTCGACAGTCTTGCTATAATTCTCTTCTTTTCACCTTGGTCGAAGACAAACTTAAAAAATGGGAGGAGGTGAAAGACACGATGACTGCGAACATGTTTCTTTCCCCAACTTCGGCAGGGCAATTACCATTGAACCTTATAATCCTAATAATAATGATAATGTATGTAGTAATGTTGTCTAGCCTATGTTGTGGGATCTCCTGCATTATTATCATAAGCTTTTCAAATCATAATTACGCGAAAGCAATTCCCATATGCGGGTCCCGTTTTGAGGGTTACTCTCTGTCCATAGTCGTAATTAAATTCGCACTTAGCATTTGTTTGAATTCTCAAGTGCGGTCCCTCCGTGCCCTTTCACCTTTTATCAATACCAATACACATGTCATTTCTCGAGCGTCTCTCCATCAATACAATCTGATCCTCTATTATATTATTATATTAGAGGCGGAAATGATCCAACGGTGGCCGTGACCCTTATCTATGATCCATGGCTCAATTTGCTCCGCTGTGGCGGGAAACCAACATCAAGTAGATATCTTTTTTTAATGACAGATATTTACTGTCTCATTTAACGTATGTGCGCCTCTTCATTTCATGTTTACAATAATAGCCCTTGGAGATGAAGGGATTATAATCTCCCTCTATTATAAAGGGTCAGTCAAATATACATTAGTGTTTAGTTTATATTGGGACCAATAAACGAAGGATAGCCAAAACAGTTGACCATTTCTAGAAACCGCTGGTGGATTGGAAAGGGAAGAGGAGGAGAGAAAGGGATAGGATAGACCAACGGGAAGAAGAAAAGGGCAATTTCGTCACTGAGGTGTAGATGGGGCCCGGCGTGGTTTGGAACTTTGGATGCGACGGAGTCAACAGGTCAACTGGAGAAACTCCATTGAAGTTAAAACCGAAGCAGCGCGTGGTATTGCCTCCTGCCCTTCATGCCGTAACATCGGCTCTCCTCAAGCGCATGATTAAAGAGCCAACCTCCCTCCTTTGACGTGGCATCCTCCTATTCGCCCTATTCTTCTCGTCGGGATTCATACCTCCACACCAATTAACAATGCCAGTCACTCTCACTCCCACCCTCTCTCCCCCCCTGTCTCTTGCTCCCACACCGGGGCTGTTTCTTTCTCTCTCCCCATTTCTTCTCTGTGCTTTTCTCTCTGCAAAATTTTCCAAATTTCTCTTCCGGCAAATCTCTTCTGCTCTTGAAATTGGCATACCTCTCATCAGCGACGCATGATCTTCCGATTAAATACAATTTCGGTTGATAATTTGGGAGTTCTTACTTGGTTTTTCCACTGGCAAAATTCCCTGAGTTGAAAGCGTAAATGCTCGAAGCGATGGAAAGTTCCGTCAATGGTGGCTTCTCCCAGTTGCAGAGCTATGGAGACAGTAGCGAAGAGGAGCTATCTGTGCTCCCCCGTCATACCAAGGTCGTCGTAACCGGGAATAACCGTACCAAATCGGTTCTTGTTGGTCTGCAAGGAGTGGTCAAGAAGGCCGTTGGACTTGGCGGGTGGCATTGGCTGGTAACTTTCTGGTTCAATTTGATTTGCCGGGAAAATGGGTTAAGATATTGCCTTATTGGGATTGACTCAGACTAAATTTGGGTTACATTGTCGTTTGTCTTCATAATTATTTTATCCCGACAGCAATGTCAGTATTGTTTTTTCATATTCTATTGCTGTTTCGTTATCGCCCCAATCTTTTCATGGTCAAATTGATCACTTCCAGGCCTCTATTGTACACTGATATTTAAGTTTGAACTCAACAGAAAGATCGAGAGCCCCTGTCGCAGAAATTCTTACCTCAACCACTTATCGACACCTCTTAATTAGAAATTTTTTTTGGCTTCGCTATTTCTTGTCGCAATTTGATTGGGTTTTACTAGTGTATATATGTTTCGAGCTACAATTTTCGATCACTTCATGCGGGTGTCCATTGCATGTTCGAGATTCTCTATGGATCTGATGTTCTAGAAGGTCCTTTATAACGATCAGTAGCTTATTTTTTTTCTTATGTGCGCTCTTGATTGTCGAAGGAGGTCAAAAATTTGTTGTTTTGATTCAAGGATCTTTCTCATGCTGACGTGGGATGTTGCATATCAAATTGTTGCCCTGAGTGTCGCATGCATTTTCTGATTATGATTCGTTCGATTGAAGAATGAAATGAAAATGCACTGTTTTATATTTAGACCTGCCTAACTTCTTCGTATACTGAGTGACCCTGATCAACTGGGCGATTCCGGCTAGGGGTTGTACTGTGCGATTTCGGAATATTGAATAACGTTAAATATATGTCACGGGTTGAATTCTTATTCTCCTCGAGGATAAGAGGATAATCGTTGGAATATTATAATTTTGTTGACTCTTAAATGTCTGTTGGTTTAACCTAATTAGCTAAATCTTTTTCGGTAACCGTGTTCATAAACCTCTCTTTCACTCTGTCTCTGTGCTTGCTAGGCTGATTGATACTAATTCATCAAGACAGTTTTCTGTCTCCAGGGTTAGGATTTGGATTCTAATTGATGGTTACACACTCACATTGTCTGAAATTAGGTCGGCATTGCCTAGTTTGAACTTTGATGATGGAATGGAATTTGTTTGCTGTTCGGCAAAGTTCTCCTTTTGACTGACTATTTGTTTTATTCCACGGTTTATTTCAAGAAGCATTTTGTGTAGTTTAGATTATTCTTACATTGTGCATGGTATCACATTTGCAGGTTCTTACAAATGGTATTGAAGTAAAGCTGCAAAGGAATGCTCTTAGTGTGATTGAAGCACCCACTGGTAATGAGGACGATGATGACCTTGAATTTGAAAATGCCCAGTGGAATGGATCAGATATGGGTGAGTTTGATCTTTAAATTTCCCACTGGCCAAAACAAAATAATGCATAACCATTCTTTCTACCTTTTTAGACTGTTTTCTTAAAAACTTTTGAAACTAGGGTTGTTGGTTGAAAAGGTTTTACAGCTTCTGCCATCCTTTCCAGTTTCCATATTAACTGTTTTTACTATAAAGTATTATAGACTGACACGCTTATTAATTTTTTCCTACTTAACTGTGAAGTACATTAGATTAATTAACTACTTCACATTCTGACCGTACACTCAGCAGTGTTGATAATTTAATTTATGATATCTTGTGTTTAATAATTACCTTGGTGGTCCATGAACTCGGAATTGGGCATGGGGTAAAAGGATGGGGGAGTGAGGAATCCAATTCAGGCACATCAACACTAGAGCCAGTCTCGTGCTCATATTCTATGATATGAGATTTCAGTTAACTGTTTTCTTTCTATTTCATGCCCGTGGCCTTAGAAAGTGGTGTAGGTTGGTACATTGGATCCATTATGCCTTCACCTTTCTCTTTTACTATTTCTAAAAGCTCTAAAGTATTTATCTTTTTTGTTGGCCCCACCCTTATTTCTGATTTTGTATGAGCCACCTTTAATTTCTCAGCATCGGATGACACTCAAAAGTCCCACAAATCGAGGCACAGAATGCAAAGATCGTTGGGATCATCTCACAAGACTGTCAGCAGGTCCCTCTCTGGTGATTCACAGTCGAAGGGATCCATTTGCACACCTCAACGCTCCACTGTAAATCTACTATTTAATTTCTTGTATCACTTACTTTGACATGAATTACATTGCAAAGAATCAGTTCGTTAATACTACAACTGTTAATGCAAGTTTCAATAATTTGTATGCAGAAGGTTGATTTGAGCAAACTGGAAATGGCTGCATTGTGGAGATACTGGCGACATTTTAATCTTGTAAATTCCTTTACCTGTATTCTTGATAACTAACTCAGGAATGATGCTTTGGTTGTGTTGACATCAACAATGTACTTGTAGGTGGATTCCGTCCCGAACCCTTCAAAAGAACAACTAGTGGATGTTGTTCAGAGGCATTTCATGTCACAGGTACGCAGATATCAAAGCAGCATTGTCATCTCTTCCTTGCGAGTTGTCAGTTGAATGTTTTATCGGTTCCCGGTTACGAAGCTGAAAGTATATCATTTATTATCTTTGCGCAGCAAATGGACGAGTTGCAGGTGATTGTGGGATTCGTTCAAGCTGCGAAGAGGCTGAAGACCATGTGCAAATGAAATGAGATGAATTAAAATGATGAGAGTTACAATTCATACTGCGTGTGCTGACACAGATAATGGGACTGTTTATCTAAGCCCGCTTCCCTGCCTGCCTGCCATGTAACATACTTGTATGCGATTTGTATGTTTCTGATCTGTGTAAGATGTAGGTCAGCATGAGTAGCTATTGAGGTTTTTTTTTTTGTTTTTTGTTTTTTGGTTTTTTCATTTTTTGGTTGGGTAGCTTTGTTATGTAAATATGTCGCCTTGGGGAAACAACTGAATGGTTAGGGAAGTCTCAAATCTTAACGGCTATTTTCTCCGTGATTCATTCAATGCATCGCTAGCCTGGAAGTGGCTCTCACCTTTCCACACTGTTCTCTGTTTTGAATTCACATGTTCTTCTCTTTCGCCCCTCGCAGTGTCTTTTGAAAGTCCCTTGAAGTTTCTTAAGCGTTGGAAGGGACCCCAACTTATACAACTCGTGGACCTCTATTGGGGTGAAAAATTTATCATTATTCCCTTCCCTCATCAAAAGCGAGTGGTAACATCTGGACGATCAAAGAAGATTATCATCTGTGATCCAGTTCCAAAAACAGTAATCATCTCTATTTTCCATATTTTTAGAGGTAGTGGGGCCAAGAGGCAGAATCAAATAAGATGGTACAACAAAGTAGCCAAGCTTGATTTTGGGGGAGGGGGGAATGTGATTGGGATGGCGCCAATACAACCTGGGGAGTGGGTGATGGGTGATGGGTGATGACGATGAGTGGTGAGGAGGCCCAAGACTGTCAATATCAGAAGATTTTAAGATCAAACTGGGATCCACTGTTTCATTTGGATTCATCCCCAGACAATGGCTCAACGCCACCAATATATCAGGCTCCTCCCTCTGAAACTGCTTTAACACACCGAGTCGCCAACTGTCTCGTCGCCAGTTCGGTTGTGGTTGGCGCTTGGCGTCGTCATTATTTATTAAACTCAACATCTTATCTACATCCACACCATAATTTTCAAACTTTTAACGGAATGACGGATCCCCGAGGAAGAATTTCCTTTTTTTGAAATTATTTTCTCCGGTAGATTTTATGAACTGATAAAAATCATGATGCGTGACAGATGTACCACGTGATTTGATCTATATAATCCCCACAATCAAAACCGAAAATTATTACGGTTAGAATATATTATTTATGAAAATTTATTTTTTATTTATCTATTAAGATTTTTTTTATTTATATTTAGAAAATATTTTATATTGGTGAGATATTATCAGAATATTTATTAGTCAATATTAGATTCATTTATATATTGAAAACTTTTTCGATTGATAAGTCTGACAATTTTTCAGTTTTTTTTTATTTCTTTCTTTATTTCTTCCAATTACTTCAACAAGCTATCTCGAATCTCTATCTTAGAGGATCTGAATTCTTATCAGAAGCCTCCCTTTTTTCATGATTTAGAACGGAGAACTGTTTCTGGAATCTGTCCTTATTTTCGGTGTGGCTTGTAACATCATCTTGTTAAACGTTACAAGCCGGAATAAGCTTGTAGTTGTAGGTGCATGTGGTCCTGATCTCCAACCAACACTGTTGTGGTAAAAGAGGCAAGGTTCGGATAAGCCGTCAATTAATTGTAGACTCAGACGCCTAAAAGTTCATTTATAGGGAAATTTCCCTCGGACAGAGAGAAATGAACTGGTCTATATGAAAAACAGAAAAAGGTCATGTTGGAATCATCTCTTATGAAAGAAATGAAGTGGAAAAGATAATGGAATAGGCAAAGTTTGCGAGGGTTGGAGTGAAAAAGGAGTATGAATAGCGAGAAGAAATGATAAAGGCAGATTTAAAAAAAAATGGTGAAAGAGTGTGAAAAGGGCTGAGAACATAGCGCCGTTGAACATTTAATAGCCACCCCCACAAAACAGAAACAAACGAGACACGCCAATAAAGTTAGGCGTGGGTTTGCTGCTTCTTTTGACATTGGACCTCCCTCTCTCCATGAGTACATCCCCTCCGTTTGTGCGCGCCCGCGCGCGTGTATCCCTTGTTGCTTTTAGTTATAAGTTATTAAGAACTTAAAATTGAAGGGAATTGTGCTGGTGAATAATAAGGATGGGTGTAGCTTTCGAACGTAGACCGAGTGAGTTACTCTGAATCATGTTCTCTTGTCTACGACTACTCCAAGCCCTTCCCTGCGCTTATCCTTCCGACACTGTCTGCCCCACCCTATAGGCTATAGCTTCCCCTGCCTCCTTTCATTAGAAAATTTATAAATAAAAAGGTTAAAGGGCAAAACCGCCCTAATTTTTTTTCTAGTGATGTTTGACACTTTAATTTTTTTAAAAGTATTTTTGCTTTGAATTTTTTAAAAAGAAAGCATTTGTGTCCCACCATTAGAAATTACGAACGTTGACGGCTAATTAAAGTTTGATCAAGGATTAAATAATATATTTACTCTATAACTTTTTCTTCCGGAGCAATTGGTACCTTGAACTTTTGTTGGAGCTTGTTTACCTTGAAAATTTCAAAAGAGAGTAATTTTACCCTGCCTTGTTCTTCATCATCCTCCTCCTCCTCTTCCTCTTGCTCGTTTTCCACTAGCAAGCTCCCACATTACCATGGATTGGAATCCAAATGCGAAGTTGGGAAAAATAAGTGTTTGAGATTTGTGAGCCTTACAAGAAGTCTTGCATTTGGCTCGACACTTTCACCCTTAAAAATGGTTACTCAAGCCCATGATGTCACTACTTTGTCCATCAAAGGAAAATCCACCATTCTTAACTTTCCCTGAATTGCCTTTGTTCTCCCTCGACAATTGCCACATGCTCCTCATGTAGCATCTCAGCTGCTGCTTTCGCTATTACTACCATGGTCAATTTTGATGTTGTGAAGCCCTCAAAAGAGTCTGAGTTAAGATCGAAGTCCACGGACTCATCATAGTTGAGTGAGATAATGAAATTATTGAATATAGAAGAAGAGAGCTTCCACATGGTCAGGTTCATATGGATTGACTCAATGGATATTTGATTGTTTTTAGGTATAGGTATAGATTTAGATGATTTGAAATTGCTTATTGTTCATGGAGTTGTTCTTGCTGTTATTATTGATGTTAACAGAAGTGTTCTTGTTATCTAGGTGGTTTTTTTTAAAAGTGTTGTATGGCTGAATATGGTAATTAAAGTCAAAGTAATGGTTTGATGGTAGGGTAAAATTACTCTCTTTTTAAAACTTCCAGGGTAAACGAGCTCCAAACAAAAGTTTAAGGTACCTAGTGCCTCTACAGAAAAAGTTCCAAAACAAATATACTATTTGACCTTTAGTCAAACTTCATTTAACGATCAACATTTGTAATTTCTAATGATGAGGCAAAAATGCTCTCTTTTTGAAAAGTTTGAGGCAAAAATACCCCAAAAAAAGTTTAGGGTGTCAGACGTCCCTGAAAAAAAAAGTTCTAGAATAGTTTTTCCCTTTAACCCTAAATAAAATGATCAATTCTCCACATTTCTTATATTCAAAATGCTACCTTCTCTTCCTCTGTTTTTTTGTTTATCTAGAAGATTATGAAAACCATGTAGAAGAGGAAAAGACAAAGTTCCAAGCTCTCTCCTTGTCTAAATCAAATCAATATAAAAAATATTATTAAAAATAAGGGGCGATCGCCTAATGATAGTGAGAACAAATAGGCAAGAGTGAAGAAAATACATATCTTGTCTCAAAACCTTAGTGTTCAAGATTACACATCATTTTATTTTATTAGTATTGATTATTAAATCTAATTTTATTTAAAACAGTACCTTTGTAGCTTAAGTCCAACATAACTTGGTTTGTAAAAATTTTAATACTATCAAATCCATTAATTGGACCATACACATTTTTTGTGTTGCATCGCATTCCCGCTTCCTGTCTCATTTGTCACATTTTTAAATCACAGATTAACTTGGGCTTTGTTTCGTAATAGTTGTTATACTGGGCTTCATGTAGCCCACGCGATGGTTTTATTCAAACTGTTATTGTCAATTGCATCGGCCTTTTATCATCGTAATTGGTCATCTATGAGAGCCTAAAACCCTGTCTCTATGTTCTTCTTTGTTGTGTTGGACCTTTGGCCTATGCATATCTTTTACATGAAACTTATTACGTCCAAATCATAATGTATGATGTTAAAATTTTATTTGATCCAAAATGGATATTTAAAATTATGTTAACCATGAAAGGATTAAACTTATGAATCGTGCAATAAAATTATGGAAGAGAGTGATTAAGCATATATTGAGATTGGAAACTGATATTTATAATAATCAATTTGGCTTTATGCTAGATAAAGCTACTACAGAAGTAATTTTTTTACTAAGAGGATCAACGGAAGAGTATCGATGCAAAGGTAAACATTTACGTATGGTTTTTATTGATTTAAAAAATGCTTATGATTGTGTATCAAGAGAAGTATTTTGAAAAGCATTGGAAAAGAAGGGTGTTCGAGTTGCATATATTCAAGCTATACAAGACATCTATGAAGGGGCAACGACTAGTATAAGAACATATGGTGACAAAATAAAAGGCTTTCCTATAAAAATTAGACTACATCAGGGATCATCTTTGAGTCTTTATTTGCTTGACCTATCCTTGGATGTTTTGACTAAGCATGTTTAAGAGAGAATCCCTAAATATATGCTTTTTCACATATGATATAGTTCTTCTTACAAGGTAACAAAAGATAATAATTATAAACATGAGTTATGGAAGATAACATTGAAATCAAAAGGTTTTCGCTTGAGTAAAAGTAAAATAGAATATCTACATAGTAATTTTGATAAGAGATCAATGAGTAGTAACTTAGAAGTGACATTGGGTTATTAGATTATACCTACTTCATTTATTACTCTTTTTTAAAAAACTAATGCATTGAAATTGTAATTATCATTAGGAAAACATTTATGTAAGGTATCTAATTAGAGTAGAATGGTAAATATGTAATTTTTTTTAAGAAATTACTCATTCCAATCCAAAATATAAGTATTTTTTCTCAGCTAGTCTTGCTTCAAAATATAAAGACCTAGTACATGTAAAAAAATTTCTCCCATATTATCTCTTATATTTATTAACCTATTTTTTTTGTTTAAATATATTTTTCACTCATTATGGAGTACATTGGTTATTGGGACTAAAGATAAAAAGAAAAAATAATTTATGTTTTTTGAAAATTAGGACTTTATTGGAATGTAGATTTTTCTTAAAAATTACTTATATGTTAGATTAAAGAAAGTAAGATTTTAACTAATATTCTTCGTAAATTAATTACTAATATTTTATTTTATTTTTGGTCTGGAGGAGTATATATTATTAGCACAACAAAAGCCCCCAGGGGGATCATGCATGATATTAATATAAAATATGATTGTTTTAAAGGTGGGATAATAACAAAAATGTATATCAGTTTATTACTGTTCGGCATTGAAGATGATGGGGCACAAAATTGAACCATGATAAAAGTTTTAGACCGTGATTGTCATTTGTATACACTACACGAGTCCCTTCTTAATTTTACAGTTATTTTGCTTTACTTGCTTTGATGTGGTAGCATTGACTTGTTACCCTCCTTGATTGAAATTTTTCGAAAGCACCATCAATCATTGCCCTTTGCAAATTGTAACTCCAATGTTAATATCCATTTAAAAAAATTGAAACAACAAAGCACGTCACAAAAGGACAATTTGTTGATCAGTTAAAGATTCCTTATAGGAGTTGGGGTTTCTTTCCCTTTAGTCCATCTCGAAATGAGTTCCTAAAATGTTTGCCACATAAGTGAGCGAAAAAAAGCAGCCTTCACTAGCTATGAGCTGTATGGCAGGAACTTTTTTTTGCCACGTTTATTTTCTTTTATTTTATTTATATGTTACTTTTAATATATTTTATTAAAATAAAAAAATTTAAAATTTATTAACTTTATCTTAAAATTTAATAAGTTTTCACTTTTATTCTCAATAAATAGTTTTAAATCTCATTATTGATATTTTTATTCAAAATATTTAATAAGGGTAACAATGTAAAGAGGGGCATTGAAAATATAATTAATTTTTTTCTCTCCCTACTTTATAAATAAGAGTAAAGGAATATTTCATTATATTGTTTGTGCCTTAAGTTGACTGGACAACATTTTTAATTTGCTCCTGTGGCATTATAGGTGGGCCGACCTAAACAATGTGGTCAAAAGTTTCAACCTCCTTCATTCCATATTGTTGAAATTGGATTTTACGACCACTAATTACTTTGGCTCTTGGTTGAATGGAAGGCAACACAGACACACACCTACACACACAAAAGACGAGGATGAATAATTTATGTTTCTTGCAAATATGTTGTGATAAATGTTGCAGAAGAAAAGTTTGAAATAGTTATATAAGCAAATGCTAGCTGTTCAATGATACTATAATGTGCGCCCAATTAAATGTTTACGATTCAGTGAAACAAGGAGTAAGTTGATGATGTGGACTTAATAGGTGCTAAAGCCTATGAGATTCCTTCCCCTGCAACCAACTTGTTTTCCTTACATGACTTCAATTTTATGAGTGAATTGGTCATCTCGAAGAGTATAATATAATCTAAGATGAAGGATAGTTAAATTGGATTGGTTTATGATATTGAAAGTTCCCAGTTGAAATGAAAAGATAGTATCGTCACAGACACAATGCATAATGAAGCAAGTCTCAAGAGTGATTGAGAGAGCAAAATGATGAGTTTCTCTTGTCCAATCTTGAAGTTAACTAGACATGCATACAAAAAAGAAAATATAGAATATAAAAGCACTAACGTCAGATTAGACCCATAATGCATGCTAGTGAGGTATCCAAATCAAGTGTAAAGTGATTAATCTCTCAATTTTTGCATTGCACTTTTCTAGACCAACACATATTAGACTATACAAAATATATTGAACTATCATCTATCCAATTTAGAATACTCAACAAAAACATATTGATATAGCCTTAGAACCATTATAACATGTTACTATTTCACATTTGCATCTTCTGTGGAAGCCACTAATCAAGTATGACATTGACAAGAATGTGATATTTCTTTTTTTTTTGGTTGCTTTCCATTAATCAACATATGACTCCATTGGTGAGCATATATTTAGTATTTTAGTCAAAAAAAGGTTTAATTACTGATCTCAAATGATCGGAGTTCCTTTAGTTTTTTCTATTTATATATATTAACAACATTAGCAATAGTTTGGGAGCAAAAATGGGTATCAGACTAAAAGTGTGCTCATGTTGTTGGACAATTATTTGCTCTGTTGCAAAATCTTCCATTATGAATGGCTCGCACAACATTAATCGTTCGTGATAACTTGAACCCAATATATTGGAAAACTAGGTGTCACTGCAAAATGATATCAGATTTCTCATAAGAAATAAAGTATCGCATAAAATGCTAAAAAATACTTTACTAAATAATAACTAAATATTGAAAAATGGCCTCATATGTTTTTTTAAATTGTCTCTTATAATACACTACAATACTCTTAAGTACAGGAACTTATTGTTGTATTTTTGTTTTTATAATTTTTCCATGTTTTTTCCTATTATGACTGCTACAATAACATTATAAAAATTTAAGGTGTGTTTAAAATTTAAATTATGAAGGTAGAACAGTAGTTTGAACATGATCACCTGGGTTGGGATTGTGGCCTAAAAAAAAGTATCACCTGAGATTAGATTGAGCAATAATAATTGAATGAAATCTAAATAGAGGTCAAATATTTGAACATTTATAGTATTAAAATAATGGCCTGGATCATATTAAATATCAAAACTACACATTCTCTACACATTCTCTGAGATGAGTAGCTTAAAAACAAGAGGGTGTGGATGAGAATGATGCATGTGAAGAAGATCCATATTCAAAGTGGGCTTACATTTCAATAAGACCAAATTAAATTCAAGCATCATGATGAGAATATGATGCATTTGTTAAGACCCAAGAGAAACTTTGAGTAATGTGGCTAAACAATGGCAATTAATGTAAATCAACAACTTGAGATCTAAGAGGTTGCTAGGCTTATTTTTTAGATGAAGAGAGTAGTGGGTCGTACATGCATATGTTGTTTACTTGACAAAAATAGGCATACTAAACTTCCACTGCCATTTGTATGATTAAGTTGCAATCATAAATTATAGCAAAATATTAATTTGATATATAAAATGTATAGTGAAAAACAACTAATTGATCATAATCACACTACCTATATAAAGATTAGTAGACCATGGTAAAAGGGTGGTTCTTAATTTGAGTGGACCAATACATTTTTCCCAATCACAAGAATCTTTTATTGGGATTTAAAGTATAAATGCACCCACCATAGAAAAATAAAAGGGGAAAAATGAAACAAATTTGATAAAACTGACCTAAACTAATTAAGCTTCTCAGATAAGTTTATTTATAACAAAAATGATAGTTCCCCTTAAATAAAAACTATTACAAATGTGAAAATTAGAACCTTTCTCCATTGAGATATATTTTATAAAATTGTGTTATTTGAACCTCGAATACCCAATAACTGTGATTTGCTTGAAGGCTTGTATAAATAGAGTGTATTTCTTATATTAATCTACAAGGCCCCTGCTATACCTTTTCAAAGCATTGAAATATATGTGTATGTGTGTAAAGACATAACAAGTATTTTTAATAAAATAGAAGCCAACTACGATAAGTGTTTTCCACACGAAAGCCCAAAAAACATAATATTTCCTTTAGACACAATTCATTTAGGCTTATTTAAGTAAGGAAAAATGAATTCAGATAACAACACCACCACACTCTTTAAAATAACATACTGTGTGAAATTGTGAATTATAGTCTAGGAAATATCTAAGAACTAAGGAAAGAAATAATAAAAAGATTCTCCTCTCTCCTCCCGCGAGTCTGGACCTCTATATATTATTGGACCAAAACTTTCCTCATACATCCTTAAGATTTCTCTGTGATTCATCAGCCATCAAAACCTCTACTTACGAGCCCTACTTCTCTTGCATCCATGGCATTTCAAAAATCTTTCATAAACGTTAAAGGCATCAATGTTACCAGAGACAACCATGGCCTTAGCCCTCCTGCCACTGCTAATCTGCCTTACGAAATATCTGTGAAGGAGGTGAAGAAGATTTTGAGCACATCACAGCTCGCAAAGCTCAAAGCTAAATTGAGTATAATCCCAAAGACCTCAATTTCTTACTTTGAGTACGTTCGAATCTATGTTGAAAGTTGTGAGAATGAAGATCAAGGCTCAGGAGTTAGCCAAGAAATTGGATAACTTCAGAAATATCATCGTTTTGGGAAACGTGGTATTTTTACAACCTGAGCAAGTAATGAATCATGAACCAGCACTTCTGGTAATCCGATAGCTCTTTATAACTAGTAATAGTGAAACCAACCAAATCATATGTTATTGATAAAGATGGTGTGATGCAGTATTTTCAGGTAACAAAAGCAATAGAAAGTGTGATATCTAAAATAATAGTGCATCCAGAGGATAGAAGAAGGAAGGAACTAGAAAAGATTGAGGACAAAGCAAGAGCGTTGGTGTAGAGGGAGCTATATGGTGGGTTGGGTGTATTGTAACACCCTCAAATTTACAAACCGATTTTTCGCAAGTTATTAATTCAAGAAATCATTTTTTTTCATTGAACCCTTATCATACCCTTATCATGGTAGAAAAATTTCTACCATGATACATCCAAGACAATATACCACAGGTCTTAAAATATCTCAAAAAGCAATTAGAACCATGAGGGACAGACATGATCCTCATAGCATGTTATTTAAATTAGGTCATGAATCAAAAGGGACAACATAATCCTCTTGGACATATAAATGCATTTAATAAAAAGGATTAGAGTTTACATGCTCCATAGACAAGATATGTCCTAAGTTGGCACAAGATACATTGTATAATTCAAAATAAGAGGCAACGTAAAAGATGGTGTCTCATACACCATAATTACACCTCTGGTGCTTTCTCGGCCGGATTCGCTCCTGTAAAAATATTAACCACGGGGAATGAGACTTAAAAGTCTCAGTAACCAAAAATTAATATGTAATGATGCATGCGGATGTAACTAATCATGCGATTGCTAAGTGGGCACACAAAACATTTAACCGAACAATATTTTCAAACAAATCGAACAAGTATTTAATTGCATGACTGCACCTTATATCCTCCTTTCACCATGCTCGGACGCCAAATCACCCGGCCAAAGGTGAGTTGGACCAAGCGACACGCCACTCATTGGGTCCAATGAGGGCTTACCACGTGGTAATAATTAACCGAACAGAAATTCCCATTAACACCATACATTAAAATACCCTGACAAGTCATGCATCATTCAAATATCCAAACAGGAATATATCCGAACAATAATATCTCATCATGATAAACAAAAATAAATTTTTAACCCACTTAGCAATAATTTCAAACAAGTATATACAGTATTTATTTTCAATAATTCATAATTTTTCCAAACAACAAAACAACACATAACCATTCACAAACACACTCATCACAACACATTAATAATGGTTACCTTGTGTCTTGAATAACAAGTTCCCCTTCACAACTCCTTTTTCACCACTATCTTTGTCAATATAATCTACATAATTATTTCACAATACTATATATTAATTTTACATTAAAATAAATAACTCTAATTTAAATAGTTAGAAAGTCTTAGATCTATAATCCATATTAACACTAATTTAAGATTTATGCCTCATTTAACTTCCCAAATTCTTTTCTAAAATTCTCGTACCCTAATAAACTATTTTTTTATCCTCAAATCACTTCTAGTATCACAATTTCATCCTTCTATATTCTAAAAATTCGTCCAAAAATAAATTAAATTTTTAAAATTATCCTGAAGCCTCAAATCACCTTTCTATAACCTCAAAAATACCTATTCATACTTAAATAAATATTTAATAATCATAGGTTTATCCCTACATCTCAGATTCCACATAAATTCAACCATATAGATCTAGATTTTAACTCAAAAATTCTTAAACATGAGTTTCAACCTCAAGAAAATATTCTATAATATTTATTATATCCCTAAGAGTTTTAACCTATATTTTTAATCCATCATATCATCAGATTTACTATCCTATAGAAAAAATCCTAATCAAAATATTTACTCTATCCTACAAAATAATCATATCACTAGAAAGCTAATATTATTTAAAAAATAACTATAAAATTAATTTTGTAATTAAATAAATTTTTAAATGCTAATCTAAACAGGAAAGTTAGAACATACCTGAAGAAAAAAGAAAATAATCCCCCCTTGCGAGAAAACGCCGAGCAACGTGAGAGGAAGAGAGAAAAATAATATAAAAATGGGATTGTGAGTCCCAAAATTATAAAAAAAAAACTATAGGTTTGAATTTAATTATTCAAACCTTTGGGCCCAAAGTTGCAATTTTCTCTAAATTGCATCTTAGCCTCTCATGCTTCCTAATGCACACACCCCCTTCTTTTTATACATGAAGGCACCTCTTCTCTTCCCTCATCTAACCAATGTGGGACTTAGAAACAACAACCTTCCACCCCCCCTTTTTTTTGTTCCTTCTACCTTCTCTTTTTTTTTAACACACACATAAAAAAAATTATTTATGTATTATATCTTAACTAAATATTGCTTATGTGGTTTTAAATTTAAATTTTTAAATTCATAATTAAATACCTAATCATAATATTATTTCTAAATAACCTCAAATAATATAAATTCCTATTATTATCATTTTTTTTCCTCAAAACCTAAATTCCACAATTTTTTATTATATAAAAATCAGGATGTTACATGTATTGATGCTGCAAACGATCAGGTAGATGAGGTTAACGTTCTAGGACTTGAGCTGGGATATGATGGAGCCAATATGCTTCTTCTTGACGTCACTCTATGTGGCTCTCTATACCTCTTCTTCCTTAAAACTTCCACGGAGCCCACCTTCCAGGGCTACTTTGACCGTTGATTTATTATGAGGCAAGAGAAGCTGATACAATCTCGCAATTTTAATATTCACAGGTACAACAAGCTTTGCAAGGCTTGCTATCCAATAACTCAACCCAAGTCACAGCCCACACTTGTACGTCCCTCTCCCTTCCATTACTGATGGATGAGGGTGAAGTATATGCCTGGTATGGTCAGACACTTTAATTTTTGGGCTTTGTACATAGTTTCATGTTATGTCACTACTTGAAGGCCTTTTTTATTTTTAGGTCTCTTGTTTAGGCCTTCCTAGGAATAATTCTCAGCAGATGACTCTCGTGATCTTTTCCACCCAATCAAAACAGTATTACTACCATCATGCCTGATTTTACTGGTTGAGGGGTTGATTGAATTTGAGGCCTGAAATTAAATAAAAATATTAAAGGCATTTAAGTGGCTGTGAGGGTCATTGTTGACAATAATGATGCATTCAAGTTCTATAATTGATGATAATACATTGGTATATTATTATAAAGGTCAAATTTAGAGCGGTATCGCTATAAAATCATCAATCATGTCTAGGTTAAGTAGGTTGTGGAGCTTGCATCACAATTCACAACATCAATGTTTCTCTATATCATTGTAGGATGTCAAACTGGCCTTGAAATAAAGGGCCCATATTCATTTTAAACAATGACTCACTACATGCATAGTTTATAGATCAAGCTCTCTGCTAGCCTAATTAAATTTATAGTAAAATAACATTACGTATGTATTAAACTATTAAAAAAAATTTTAAATATACAATTCAACCTCACATTTCATGATTACGTGCAGTCATGTATCATGACATTTATATATTAACTCAAATTAATTTATCTAACATTTTATCACTCATTAATATCTTGCCATCTATTAACATCTAGAAGTTCATGTTATTTCATCATATTTTCCTTTGATTCTAATTCATTTTAGTTCAATTGTATATGTTTTTATTGCCCAAATTAGCAAAATGTGCATTTTGTTTTGGGCTTGTGTTCTTAGCTTTAATTTGATATTTTTAGCCTAATTTCATATTATTTTGATTGAAGTTTTGATTAGAAGCATTTTTGGAGCTTTGTGGATGTTTATGAAAGGCTTTTGGATGAAAAAATCAAGAGTAAAATGAATGATTTTTATTAGCTGTAAAAACAGTGCAAAATTGCCAAAGTCATCCCAAAGTCGTGACTTTCATTCGCGACTTTTACTGCTGTCAGAAAAACGCTGCATTTCATTTATCAGAAATTAGTTGGCTAGGATACATATCAGCTGAGAGCTTGACCTAAAATGCATTCTTCAAACTTTTAGACACTTTTGGAGCTTGGTTGTGCTAGGGTTTGGGCATTGGAAGAGTTGGGATCAAGAGATTGAAGCTTTGAAGACATTTAAAGCTCATTTTCTTCAGTTTTTCTATTCCTCTTCCCTTTCCTCTCTTGTAATCTAAAATAGGTTCACTTATTTTGTATATTTGTAGCTCGTGGATGATTATGAGTAGCTAAACCCTTTGTTCTAGGATTATTTGAAACTTTGTATGAATTAACACTATATTTCTCCTCTCTTGTTGTGATTAATGATATCTATGTATTTATTTTACTCTTTCCTTAATGCTTCTACTTGATTGGCCACCATTTAGATGTTGGGTTCACTTAATTGATGCTTGAGAGGGCTAGGTTGAGTGTAGAACTTGGGTAAAATTGTGTAAGAACTTGATATTTGCATGTTGAATGGATGGTTTTGCTAGTAAGATAGAGATATACTTGCTAGCCTTGCATAGCCACATTAGGGTTAGTGTTTAAAATTGAGTTTTATTAATTGTAATAAGAGATTAGGTAATTAATTTAACTAAACACTTGTTCATGACTTGAGAGAGCTTGTCCAAGTATTTTTAGAACTCTAGGTTAGCACTTATTTTTATTAAAAGCATTTATGAGAGGAGGTAATTTTGGTGTTATGAAATGCAAGGGGGACAATTAATCTTAGGTCCTAATTTGTGTTGGAAGTTTGTGAATTACTCACTTTCTTAATTTTCTAGTGTTAGTTTCATTTACAAAATCATTTTCACCTAACTTTGTGTAGCTTAACTTGATCAAATTTACTTAGTCTTTTGCTTGATCATTGTTTTTGAACAAATCCTCGAGGGAACGATACTTTACTTTCATTATATTACTTGCTACAATCCGTACACTTGCGGTGAGCAACACCATCACATGAAAATAGTAAGAACTAAGAAGAATCACTAATGTGTAAATCAACTCTTATGTAAGGCTTACTAAAGTTCTGTTTGGTTACTGAAAAGAAATAGAATGAAATAGATTAAAAAAAAAAGAACTAAATCACCCTATAAAACTTATTAATATATACACTATAAATGTAAAAATTATCACGCCTACTAAAAATCTTATGAATTATGATTTTCAATTCTATAAACTAAATTACTCCTCCTCTTTATGAATGTTCTCATATATCTCCTGTGATTATTTTATTTTTACCTTTATTTTTTTAATCCATTTCTTTCTAATAAGCAAACGATACTAAAATGATTTGACTTTATTTTATTAGTTCATGCGGAGATAAGTCAGACAGATTAGGTATGACATGGCTTTATTAGATGCTAGCATAGAGTGTAGAGAGTTCAAATAGGGTTAAACATGCACCTGTTCTAAAATATCAGCATTAGCTACAAGTTTAGAGCAAACAAGATCCTTAAAGTGAACAATAAAGTTATTTATCACAAGTCATATAGGGGCACCAATGTTGCAACTAAACCATGGCCCACTATCTCTATATACTCTGCAATAGAATTGACTTTGGCTTGCCATCATAAAAAATTATTTGATTCTTGTTAATAGTGACTCCCCCATCTTTTTCTTTTTTGTAATATGATAGGACAACAACCTCATCGGCCATAATGCTTCTCTAACCTCAATAAACCTAACAAACATCTTGATATACTTAGCATTTGTATATACTTTTAGAAATTCTTCACTAGGACTACCCACTCTGATTCCTTTTACAATCTAGCATGTAAACATTAGACATATTCTCAATCCCTAACTTACTAACTAACTTTATGTTAGATACTAGGTCATAAATAGATCCATATTAGATCATTTTTATTATGACCACGAAAGATAAAATGCATTAGTTTTAATCATGAATACTGAGTTATAATTTTTTTTAAGGATGAATGTGTTAAATTTTTTAAACGGACAACAAAAGGTAAACGAAATGAGAAGAGTGGGCCAGGGCGATATAAGTCATTTTGTTGAACCAAGCATGGAAGAAAGAGATGTAAAAAACAAAGTTGTTAGACTGTGTATCGAAGAATATTATTACATGTTTATCACTTTTGAGTTTTAAATATATTAACATTTAAGAAAACTTACGCTGGAAGGTTCTATTCCTGGAGGGCTATATAAATTATCAATAGTAGCTATACCCACCAACCTAATGTTGAGGGTTATATATAATGGATTAGGTCTATCTGGAATGACAATACCTTCAATTAATAAACAAGAATCGAGGGGTAGGCAATATATAGGTCAAAGAGTTGAAAGTCAAACCCTTAAACATGGGATATTATTAATCATCACTTTGTTTGTCTGGTTTTATGGCTAGAAATAATGCTTAATTAATAATTAGCTCCCTGGCACTTGCATGTATTGTTTAGGTTCATGCATACAATTTCATCCTAATAACATCAAAAGGTAGTGGACTTGGTATTTCAACCTTAAGAACGTTGGATATGCTTAATGAAAACTGCAGTGCTTAGCTTGTATTTTAATTTTAATATTATTATTCCAAACCAAAATAATTATAAATTATTTTCCTTTGTTATAAAGAAATAATTATAATTATGTCATTTAGTGGAACGCTAATGCCAGTTAGGTGGATGACCTTCTTAATTCCTTTCCACATACTGTTAAGCATCTAATTGAACTGTCTTATCCCTTAAATAAATATGTAAATAAATAAAATTAAGAACAATGGAATAAATTGTCTTATTATCTTCCATCACACACGTGCTCTATCTTGCATGTTAACAGCCACGATGGAAATCAACAGCATAATATATAAGTTTTAGTCTGTTAAACAGATTGCTCGTGTTTTGTAAGTGTCATTTTCCAAACAAACACTACATTCCAATTTCTCAAGTATTTTATAATACAATCAACTATTGTGAATTCAATTTATTATTATGAATAAAATACTTTGGTAACCTCTTTATGTTGCTTTAATTATATATACTTCCTTTTTATTTTAAAAACCTATATGAACTCCCCCAGTATAAATGGTCATAGAACACAAACATCCCCTTTATTTTTAATATTACATTTCCATCTGATCCACCTAATTGTTAGTTATCCATTAAGTCACATCTATGGACCAAAATACCCCTTGATTTTTATATAAATACCCTTTATTTTTAATATTGTTTCTGTTTTGAAGATA